AGGACGGCTCTCTACTTACTACATGCAGTGTAAGGCATGCATGCAAAAAGAGCCAGGCCAGCCCCCAGCTGATCCAGGGCCTGCATGAGTGGTTAACCAGCCGTGGGATCTTGCTTTCCTGATGATCTGAGTGATTTTGAGACTTTCCTGAGGCTGCTTGATTTGCTTGTGACTGAATTGTAAGAGGGGCTGTGCAGAGCTGGTCCTGAGGCCTAGAAACGGAAAAGGTGCGTGTGTGTATGTGTGTGTGGGGGGGACCTCTAAGGACTGGGATGGCGAAGGAAGACTGGGATACTGCGCCCTGCAGAATGTGGACGGGTGCTTCCACTGCACCCCAGATCAAGGCAATGTAGACTCATGGCCCGAGCACTTCTATTCTGTTGTCCCTTCAAAGCAACCCAACAGGTCATTCAAAATCTCCTTTTGCACATAGACGGTTAAGAAGTAAATAAGCCACTCTGTTCGCAGCACTGCAGGAAGCAGCCGTGTTTCAATTAGCCTTGTGTGGTTTACTTTTCAAGAAATACTTGAGTCTTACCTTCCGGTTGTTCGTAATCTCACTGGGGAAACAACTTGCTCATTTCTGAAACCACCACAGATGAACAGAATCACAGGAGTGTCCCAGCATCTCTTAAGGCTGCAGCTGGACAAGAACACAGGGATAATCAGGGGGAAAAAAAGTGCTATCATGGACCCAAATCAGTACCAGAGGGTTTTATAATGTTTTACTTTGCGTGTGGCAACCTTAGTGTTTTCTAGGACCAAGAACCACATGATCTGGAGGTAGAAATCCATAAACCCAAACGCCCACAACAGCTGGGGCTGAGCCTGGGGCTGAGCGCAGGAGCCAGGAGCTCAGTGCAAGTCTCCCACGTAGGTGCCAGGGACCCGACTACTTGAGCCATCACCTGCTACCTCCCAGTGTCGGCACTGGCAGGAAGTTAGAATCAGGAACCAAAGCTGGGAATTGTACCCAGGAACTCCACTATGGGACACAGACATTTTAACTGGTGTTTTACGCTACTGCTAAACCAAATGTCCACCCTGCCCTGAGCTCACAATGGTATCCCTATCCACTGCCTGCTGTCTTTGTTCATTCTCAAATCCTCTCTTCTTCCTGACCCAGATGTGTGTCGGGACAGCTGTCACAGCACATAGGTGAAAGCGAGTGCTGATGGCGTAAACTCTCCAGAGAGAGCTCTCCAAGAGCAACAACGAAGAGCAGACCTTGGATGTGAGGAAATACTGTCGCTCCCCCTCTTCATGGAGGAGCAACACTGAACCCTGCCTAGGCTTCATATCCGAGTCACGGCACCATTATGTCGCTCCCCCTCTTCGTGGAGGAACGACACAGGACCCTGCGCTGTTCTTTCGTCTGCTCGGCCCTCCCCGGGTTTGCTGCTGGCTCTTCCCGGGTTGGCTACTATCCCTTCCACCTCCGTGGAAGGGCAGTTCCCCCTGGCCACATTCCCCACTTCCGCAGGGGAGCGGCACACCGCCGGCCGGCTTTCTCGGGAGCTGCACGGGTTCCCTTAGATGTTCCCCATAGATGTTCCTGGTGCATGCCGTCTCTCTCCTCCTTTATAGTCCTCCTCCGCCAATCCCAACTCGGCTGCCCACACGCCGAGTACGCTGCTCTCCAATCAGGAGCAAGTCCTACAGTTTATTGGTTGAACTGGAGGCAGCTGTGCGGAAGCTGTTTACTTCTCTCCCAGCGCCATATTGTGGGAGAGCAGATGCATAGAATAAGTCTTAATTCCAGTAACTCAGTCCAGTCCGGATTGCTCCCCACAAAATACAGGTGTTTATTTTTATCTCACTCCTTTGCATATTTACATTTTATTTGGTTTATTATTTTTGCACTACATTGGCATGATTACAAATGTATAGTATTTATAAATGGATGCTGACAGTTTTTGACAGGAAGAGGTACACGATTTTAAAAGCTTGCACTAACCTAACAAACTAATAAGGATATGATATGGGAACCTTCAGTACACTGCTGATGGAAGTGTCTGTATCAACTGTCTTAAAATATTTATACTTTGTGTGTGGCAACCTTAGTCTTTTCTAGGACCAAGAACCACAGGATCTGGAGGCAGAAACTCACAAACCCGAACGCCCACAACAGCTGGGGCTGGATTTTACCATGTTGATAGACAAAGGTAGCCTGTGGCCAGCTGGCATGTTCCTGGACTTTCTCAAGGAATATTAACATTTATGAGACATTCCAAGTGTCAGAAAAGAGACATTTGGGTCATCAGATAAGAGCTGAAAATTTTCTCAACAACTTTGCTTACCACATTAGGCTTTGGGATGACAGCTCTGGTCACTTGGAGGGAATGATGGTGGTTATAACCAAATTGGCTGCAGCCATGTCAGCTGGAGATGAGAGTGATCTATGTGGAAGACTTGCTGATCTAAACCTGCAAAAGTAAAAAGGACTTTATTTGAAGTCTTAGAAAACGCAATCCAGGAGACAGATTCAGATAACTCCAAAGCGTGTTCTGAAGATGGCAGGAAAGATGGGACCTTATACGAGCAGTATTATTTTAATACAAAGCAGTAAAAATTATTTTGTGGGAAACTTTTGTTGGAATTGACAACAATGGCTGTGTGTTAGGGGCCATGTGACCAATGGAAAATAAAGAAGAGAATGTATATTGTAAGAAAAATGTTCATATAACAAGATCCCCCAACTTCTTGATGTGCATCTTGAGTCTCAAGACAAAATGTAATTGTTGGCCGGCGCCGCGGCTCACTAGGCTAATCCCCTGCCTGCGGCGCCGGCACCCCGGGTTCTAGTCCTGGTCGGGGCGCCAGTTCTGTCCCGGTTGCTCCTCTTCTAGTCCAGCTCTCTGCTATGGCCCGGGAAGGCAGTGGAGGATGGCCCAAGTGCTTGGGCCCTGCACCCGCATGGGAGACCAGGAGGAAGCACCTGGCTCCTGGGTTCAGATCAGCGCAGTGTGCCGGCCGCAACCCGCCGGCCGTTGTGGCCACTTGGTCATTTACATTGGGGTGAACCAATGGAAAAAGGAAGACCTTTCTCTCTGTCTCTCTCTCTCTCTCACTATCTAACTCTGCCTGCCAATAAATAAATAAATAAATAAATAAAATGTAATTGTTTGCTCCAAATGCCTGCAGTAAACAGTAAGGACAAGCAAAATTCATATTCCCTGGAAGCAGCTGGAAGGTGTGTAAGTCCCACTCTAGTGGCTCCCAACTCCACCAGGAAAACTTTCAATGTTGTTTTCATTATGATTTTTCCTTTTATTTTCACAGACTGTTCATCGAAACTTTATCTAGAACATTTGGAAATGTTTAACAAAACGAGTACTTAAACTGTGCTATGCTGTTAGACTACATTGCTTTGCAGCTTACAGAACTAAAACAGAATTTGTGGCCAGCACCGCGGCTCACTAGGCTAATCCTCCGCCTGTGGCACCGGCACCCCAGGTTCTAGTCCTGGTTGGGGCGCCGGTTCTTTCCCGGTTTTCCCGGTTGCCCCTCTTCCAGTCCAGCTCTCTGCTGTGGCCCGGGAGTGCAGTGGAGGATGGCCCAAGTGCTTGGGCCCTGCACCCCATGGGAGACCAGGAGGAAGCACCTGGCTCCTGGCTTCAGATTGGTGCAGCACCGGCAGTAGTGGCTATTTGGGAAGTGAACCAACGGAAGGAAGACCTTTCTCTCTGTCTCTCTCTCTCACTGTCTAACTCTGCCTGTCAAAACAAACAAACAAACAAACAAACAAAAAAACCAAAAACAAACCAAAAAAAAAAAACCCCACAGAATTTGTGCTTTTTCTGCTGCCGGCCGAGGCCATCACCGGTCGCAAGCACGCTCCCGCTCCCGGGAAGAGTCTGTCCCCGTGGGCTTTGCCTTAGGGCAGCAGCGTCCCCACCTGGCTGAAGCTGAGGGCCTGAAGGGACAGATTTACAACCTGTCCAAAAAGGGCCTGACTCCCTCACAGATCGCGGGGATCCGAGGGACTCCCGTGGAGTCACATAAGTGCGTTTGGTGACAGGCAATACAATCTGGAGAATTCTGAAGTCCAACGTTCTTCCTGAGGGTCTCTATCATCTAATTAAGAAATTAATTGCTGTTTGAAAGCACCTTGCGAGGAAGAGAAAGGAAAAGGATGCTAAATTCTGCCTGATTCTGATAGCCGAATTCACTGACATTTGGGTCATCATTTTGGGTTTGATACTACAAAACCAAGCGTGTCTTCCCCTTCAATTGGAAATATGAGTCATCTACAGCCTCTGCCCTGATGGCATTAAATTTGTCCATGTACTCAAGCAACGAAATCATTGTTCAACTAAAAACAAACAAAACGACGTAAGTTGTAATCAGCTTAAGCTTTCTTGTAAAAATAATAAAATAAATAAAAGTGGAACTGTGCCCAGGTCTAGCTTCTCTGAGAAAAGGCAAGGAGGAAGCGTACAAGTTCCCAGTTCCCAAGAGTGGTGGCAGGTGAATTCGGAGACAAACCTCCTATGCAAAGTTTTCTTTGCAAGGCACACAGCTTAGCTGCACCGCCGCCGTGGTGCACGCGGAAGGAGAAAGTGATTGATTGGGAAAATGAATCATAGTTCCCCCCGGCCGCGTTTCAGGAGCCTCAGCTGTGCCTGTGAACCTCTCTGCTGGACAGGCAGTGTACAGGAGCGAGCGGTGTACGGAACCAACCGCCAACATGGCGGCGCCCTTATGGCGGCGGCGATCAGCTCGTCGCCATTTGTTGCCTGGGAACGTACGGACGCGGCCCCCTTACGGAATTAGATTCAGCTCGAAGCGCGCACTAGCGTCCAGTGTACGAACTCGACCGACAAGGTGGCGGCGCCCTTGGCAAAGCCGCAATATGGGCGCTGCCATGTTTCCTACTGGCGAATGGACACTGGCACCTTACGTACTCGACAGTCAAGATGGCGGCACCTGAGGGATTCTCGGGGCTCTAAGGGGCGCACTACTTGCCCACCCGCGAAGCCGACTCACGGGGCATGCGCAGCAGGAGTACGATGCCCGGGAGGCGCGGCCAGAAGCGGAAGTAGTTGTGGGAGCCTTTCAACGGCCTCGGACGCCGCGGAGTAGTCTGTGTGGGTTCGGGGTCGCTGGCGGGGGTCGCGAGGGCTTGCGCCGGGAGCGGAGACATGGTGAGTCCGGGGTCTGGGGAGGGGTTGGGCGTGGGGGTCGCTGGGGTTGGTAGCGGCGGGGTCCGTCGCCAGGGCGTAGGGGTCTGTGGTGAGCCGGAGCGCGTCTGTGGCAGCACGGCGGGGGTCTGTGGAGCGCTTCCACAGGGGTCAGCGGGCGGAACCCTGCGGGGCTCGTGGCCAGCGCCCCGGAGTTCTGTGAGGAGCTGTTCCGGGGGCTCCGGGTGGAAGTTCAGTGGGACTCAGAGCAGTTCTGAGGAAACTGTGCGCTTGGGGGTGCGCGGAGCAGAGGGGAGATGGGTGAGGGGTTCCTCGGGAGCGCTGACGAAGTGTCAGGGGTTCCTGGAGACCCGGCCCCGGCTCGCGTCTGCGGGCGATGACGGCGCCTTGCGGGGAGCCGAGAGGGGCCGGCGTGTGAACCGGGCAGTGGGGGGCCCGTGTGGTGAGTGACGGGCACGGGGGTGTGAACCGGGCAGTGAGGGCCCCGTGTGGTGAGTGACGGGCACGAGGGTGTGAACCGGGCAGTGAGGGCCCCGTGTGGTGAGTGACGGGCACGGGGGTGTGAACCGGGCAGTGAGGGCCCCGTGTGGTGAGTGACGGGCACGGGGGTGTGAACCGGGCAGTGAGGGCCCCGTGTGGTGAGTGACGGGCACGAGGGTGTGAACCGGGCAGTGAGGGCCCCGTGTGGTGAGTGACGGGCACGGGGGTGTGAACCGGGCAGTGAGGGCCCCGTGTGGTGAGTGACGGGCACGGGGGTGTGAACCGGGCAGTGAGGGCCCCGTGTGGTGAGTGACGGGCACGGGGGTGTGAACCGGGCAGTGAGGGCCCCGTGTGGTGAGTGACGGGCACGGGGGTGTGAACCGGGCAGTGAGGGCCCCGTGTGGTGAGTGACGGGCACGGGGGTGTGAACCGGGCAGTGAGGGCCCCGTGTGGTGAGTGACGGGCACGGGGGTGTGAACCGGGCAGTGAGGGCCCCGTGTGGTGAGTGACGGGCACGGGGGTGTGAACCGGGCAGTGAGGGCCCCGTGTGGTGAGTGACGGGCACGGGGGTGTGAACCGGGCAGTGAGGGCCCCGTGTGGTGAGTGACGGGCACGGGGGTGTGAACCGGGCAGTGAGGGCCCCGTGTGTGAGTGAGGGGCACGGGGGTGTGAACCGGGCAGTGAGGGCCCCGTGTGGTGAGTGACGGGCACGAGGGTGTGAACCGGGCAGTGGGGGGCCCGTGGGGTGAGTGACGGGCACGAGGGTGTGAACTGGGCAGTGGGGGGCCCGTGCGGTGAGTGCCAGGCAATGGGGTGTCTGTGTGGTGAGTGACGGGCTTGGGAGTGTGAACCAGGCAGTGGGGGGCCCGTGTGGTGAGTGACGGGCACGGGGGTGTGAACCGGGCAGTGAGGGCCCCGTGTGGTGAGTGACGGGCACGAGGGTGTGAACCGGGCAGTGGGGTGCCCGTGGGGTGAGTGACGGGCACGAGGGTGTGAACCAGGCAGTGAGGGCCCCGTGTGATGAGTGATGGGCCCCGGGGGTGTGAACCAGGCAGTGAGGGGCCCGTGAAGTGAGTGACGTGCATGAGGGTGTGAACCAGGCAGTGAGGGCCCCGTGTGGTGAGTGATGGGCATGAGGATGTGAACTGGGCAGTGAGGGGCACGTGTAGTGACGGACACGGGGGTGTGAACCGAGCAGGGAGGGGCCTGTTCAGTGAGTGATGGGCCTGAGGATGTGAACCAGGCAGTGAGGGGCTCATGGTGGTGAGTGGGTAGGGGTTGCCCATGGTGGTGAGTGAGGGGCACGGGGGTGTGAATGGGGCAGTGAGGTGCCCATGGTGATGATTTGGCACAGGGGTGTGAATGGGGCATTGAGGTGCCTATGGCAGTGAGTGGGCAGGGGGGTGTGAATGGGGCAGTGGGGTGCCCATGCGGTGAGTGATGGGCACAGGGGTGTGAACCAGTCAGTGGGGTGCCCGTGGTGGTGAGTGAGGGGTGTGGGGGTGTGAATGGGGTAGTGAGGTTCCCATGGCAGTGAGTGGGCACAGGGGTGTGAACCGGGCAGTGAGGTACCCATGATGTTGAGTGATGGGCACGGGTGTGTGAACCAGGCAGTGAGGGGCCCGTGGTGGTGAGTGACAGACACGGGGGTGTGAACCAGGCAGTGAGGGGCCCGTGGTGGTGAACCAGCCTGGGAGTGTCAACAGGGCAGTGGGATGCTCCTGATGGTGAGCAATGGGGCATCAGACATGAGCAGTTCTGGGATGGTGGTTGGAGCAGTGAGGGGGTCTCCCGTGAATAGTTATGGAAGTGGGGAGATGGGGCATCTGCATGAGCCTATGGGATTGTAGGTGGGGCAGTGGGGTATCTGCCATGAGCCATTATGGAGTGTGGGTGGAGCAGCGGTGTCCCTGGCGAGTGAGTGATGGGGTGTCTGCCGTGAGTAGTTTTGGGAGCGTGGATAGGGTAATGGGGTGTTCTTGAGTGAGCAACAGGTGTTTACCATGAGCTGTTGGAGGAGTGTGGTTGGGCCAGTAGAGCGTCTGTCCATGGCATGGTGATAGGGCGTCTGCCATGAGCTGGTATGAGAGTGGATTGTAAGTGAGGTGTCCGCGGGGACGAGTGATAGGGTGCTTGCCATGAACCATTATGTGGGTGCAGATGGGGCAGTGGGGTATCCATGGTGACCAAGGGAGCTTTTGTCATCAGCTGTCATGGGTATCGGGGTTGAGTGAGGGGGCATTTACCATGACCTGTTACAGAAGTACGGGTGGGATAACAGGAGGTCTGTTAAGTGATGCTGAGAGATCTGGAGCAGAGTGGTTGAGAATAATGTGGTTTGGGGTGAATGGAACGTGGTATGAAGCAGAGTAATGTGGTATTGGGGTGACAGTGGGGGCCATGGTGGGAAGTCGTAATGGGGGTATCCCACAGGAGGGAGATGGTTCAGACCCAGAGCCTCCAGATGCTGGGGAGGACAGCAAGTCGGAGAATGGGGAGAATGCACCCATCTACTGCATCTGCCGCAAGCCGGACATCAACTGCTTCATGATGTGAGCGTGGAGAGGGAGGCGGGCCGGCTGCCACCTGGCAAGGCAGGGGCAGGTTGATGAGGCATGCCCCTCACCTCTCTACCACCACCCATCCTCTGCAGCGGCTGTGACAACTGCAATGAGTGGTTCCATGGGGACTGCATTCGGATCACTGAGAAGATGGCCAAGGCCATCCGGGAGTGGTACTGTCGGGACTGCCGAGGTGAGTGGAGTGGGATGGAGAGGCAGAGGGAGCGCAGGTGGTGCTTCAAGGGTGCGGGGTGCCAGAATGGGAGGACAGGTCTTGTGTCTGTGGGCAGAGTGATTGTGGTCTGTGGTGAGCTGGAGTGGGGCTCTACTGAACTGGTAAGAGAGGATCCCAGTGGAAGGGGCAGTTTTGCTGTGGAGCAGATGGGTGGGACAGTAAGGGAGAGAAGACTGAAAACAGAGGTTCTGGGACCATACAGGTCCCCCAGTGCCAACCCACTCTGGCCCCCTGCTTTGGCCCACAGAGAAAGACCCGAAGTTGGAGATTCGCTATCGGCATAAGAAGTCTCGGGAGCGGGACGGCAGTGAGCGGGACGGCAGTGAGCCCCGGGATGAGGGTGGCGGGCGCAAGAGGCCTATCCCGGATCCGGACCTGCAGCGCCGGGCAGGGTCAGGAACAGGGGTTGGGGCCATGCTTGCTCGGGGCTCTGCTTCGCCCCACAAATCCTCTCCACAGCCCTTGATGGTCATACCCAGCCAGGTGAGTAGTTGTAGTGGTTGGGATGGGCAAAGTGTTGCCATCTTGGGCCCTGCCTAGGTTCCTGATTTTTGTTCTGGGTGCCTTACCCTAGCATCACCAGCAGCAGCAGCAGATCAAACGGTCAGCCCGCATGTGTGGTGAGTGTGAGGCCTGCCGGCGCACTGAAGACTGTGGCCACTGTGACTTCTGCCGGGACATGAAGAAGTTTGGGGGCCCCAACAAGATCCGGCAGAAGTGTCGGCTACGCCAGTGCCAGCTGCGGGCCCGGGTGAGCATGGGCAGAGCTGGGCAGGGTCAGGTGGGGGATGGGCTAATGGGTCCAGAAAGGGGTGCTGAGGCTAGGCACTGTGTGGGAGGGGAGTGGGTGAAGGACCGCTGATTTACCCAGATAGGTGGGAGGCAGGCCTGGCATGTCCAGATGACTGGGGCATGGCCAGGTATACTAGCTGGCAGAACTCCCAGTCCTGGGGGGGCAGGGAACAGGGCCACGTGTTCCAGACTCAGGCTCATCAGGGAAGATCAGGCAGGGATGAGCATGACCTGGTGAGGGGCAAGGGGGCAGGTGTGCCTGGGGAGGCAAGTCAAGACTAGGTGGGTGGGGCTAGGGTAGGGCCACCCTCCATCCACCTGGGGCTGACCTGGGCCTTCCTCCTGCCGGCACAGGAATCGTACAAGTACTTCCCTTCCTCGGTGAGTCCAGCCCCCAGGGCAGGGCGGGGCATGCGGGCAGGGCGGTCAGGGCCAGTCCTGAGATTCTGCCCCGCAGCTCTCGCCGGTGACGCCCTCAGAGTCCCTGCCAAGGCCCCGCCGGCCACTGCCTACCCAGCAGCAGCCACAGCCATCACAGAAGCTGGGGCGGATCCGGGAAGATGAGGGGGCAGTGGCATCAGCAGCAGTCAAGGAGCCGCCCGAGGCTACAGCCACGCCCGAGCCACTGTCCGACGAGGACTTGCCACTGGACCCTGACCTCTACCAGGACTTCTGTGCGGGGGCCTTTGATGACCATGGCCTGGTGAGCGGGCAGGGCGTTCACGGGGTGGGAGGGTGGAAGTTACGGAAGCAAAGTGTCCGTGCTGAGAGGAGGCAGAGATGGAAGGCTGGCGTGGGTGGTGAGCAGGTGGGGGGCTGTCATGAGTGGGCCGGCTGGTCACCGCATGCCCTGCTTGCAGCCTTGGATGAGTGACACGGAAGAGTCCCCGTTTCTGGACCCCGCGTTGCGGAAGAGAGCCGTGAAGGTGAAGCATGTGAAGCGCCGGGAAAAGAAGTCTGAGAAGAAGGTGACGGAGAGGTTAAGGTGGTGTGGGAACGCGGAGGGCGGGGCGGCCAAGGGCTGACTGGGGCGAGAGCCAGAGAGGGTGGGACAGATGGAGACTGAGGCCAGGGGCTGCCTGTGACTCCCCCCTGGCCTCACCTGTCCCGCCCACAGAAGGAAGAGAGATACAAGCGGCACCGGCAGAAGCAGAAGCACAAGGACAAATGGAAACACCCAGAGAGGGCTGACGCCAAGGACCCTGCATCACTGCCACAGTGCCTGGGGCCTGGCTGTGTGCGCGCTGCCCAGCCCGGCTCCAAGTATTGCTCGGATGACTGCGGCATGAAGCTGGCAGCCAAGTAAGTCCTTCCTGGGAGGTTCAGCAGAGGCAGGGGTACAGGCTAGGGCGTGACCCGAGTCCTCTGTCTGCCAGTCACCTACCCACCATTCAGTTAGCCCAGTGCCCACCTACCCGCCTGCCCCATTTAGTCACCCATCCAGTGGTCGTCCCTCGTCTCGTGGCTGGCAGGTCCCTGCCTGCAGCCCACTCACTGCCTCTCTGCAGCCGCATCTACGAGATCCTCCCGCAGCGCATCCAGCAGTGGCAGCAGAGCCCCTGCATCGCGGAGGAGCATGGCAAGAAGCTGCTGGAGCGCATCCGCCGGGAGCAGCAGAGCGCCCGCACCCGCCTCCAGGAAATGGAGCGCCGCTTCCATGAGCTCGAGGCCATCATTCTGCGTGCCAAGCAGCAGGCTGTGCGCGAGGATGAAGAGGTGAGCGCACGCGCCCAGGAGCGCGGGGCCCGGCACCTGGTCCCCACCTGGCCTCACAGTTCCTCCTGCCCCACGCAGAGCAATGAGAATGACAGCGACGACACAGACCTGCAGATCTTCTGCGTTTCCTGCGGGCATCCCATCAACCCACGCGTTGCCTTGCGCCACATGGAGCGCTGCTATGCCAAGGTCGGGGTGTCAGCCTGAGGGGGCGGATGGTGTGGGAGCCCAGTGAGCCTCGAGGGACGGCCGTGTTGTCTGGGTGGTGTCCTGGGTGGGCGTGCAGCGCACATCCAGTTCCCTCCTTTGTGCTCATCCCTCCAGTATGAGAGCCAGACGTCCTTCGGGTCCATGTACCCCACCCGCATTGAAGGGTGAGTGCAGGGTGCTCTGTGGAGCTGGGGCAGGCCATGGGCGCGGTAAAGGATAAGGGGGCCTCGGTCCTCCTTTCTGGCCGTTACCGTGTTGATTCCAACCCCCAGGGCCACACGACTCTTCTGTGATGTATACAACCCTCAGAGCAAAACATACTGTAAGCGGCTCCAGGTGCTGTGTCCTGAGCACTCGCGGGACCCCAAAGTAAGCATTTCCTCAGCCCCCACCTGCCTCCCCTTCCCTGTTCTTTGCTTCCTCCCTCAGCTCCTGTCCTTTTCCATTTCCTACCTGGCCACTCGATTCCTCCCCCAGGAGTGCGCCCCGCTCCTGGGCTCCTCACCACCTCTGCATCCCCTCCCTGCGTGTCCCTGCAGGTGCCAGCCGACGAGGTGTGCGGGTGTCCTCTTGTGCGGGATGTCTTTGAGCTCACAGGTGACTTCTGCCGCCTGCCCAAGCGCCAGTGCAATCGTCATTACTGCTGGGAGAAGCTGCGGCGAGCCGAAGTGGACCTGGAGCGCGTGCGCGTGGTAGGTTGGGTGCTGGCTGTGGCCAGGGGCCCGCAGGCCCGCAGGCTCCTGTGACTTCTCACGGCTCCCTGTGTCCTTCGGCAGTGGTACAAGTTGGACGAGCTGTTTGAGCAGGAGCGCAACGTGCGCACAGCCATGACAAACCGCGCAGGGCTGCTGGCCTTGATGCTGCACCAGACAATCCAGCACGACCCGCTCACCACCGACCTGCGCTCCAGCGCCGACCGCTGAGCGCACCGGCCCAGGCCCGCCCGGGCGGCCTGCTCCTCCGTTTGTTCGTTCCTCCTTCGTCTGTTTCTTCAGCTGCCCCCAAGTTTCTCCCTGTGCCCAGCCAGCACCTGAGTGCCCATCTGCCCCTACCAGGGGGTCTCAGACTGCGTCCGTCGGTCTGTCTCCGCTCTTGTGCTGGGTGGGACTGTGAAGTTTGCTCACCCTTGCCTCCCGCGGTTTTGTTAATAAAATTTTGAAGCAAGAAGAGGACTTGCTTGATGTGTGCGCACTGTGCAGGCTCCCCACGCAGTCCCTGGCGGGGGCGCCCACTGGCGGCACAGTGTGGCTGCGTGTCCAGACCAGCTGTGCGTGCAGCGGCCGACCCGCTCCTGGAAAGTGATCAGGAGCCCCCGCCGGCTCTCCGCGGTCAGCGGTCGGCGCAGGGCTCGCCTGGGGCGGGGCTGCCACGCCCCCCACGCCCCGGCTACCTGCCATGCGGCACCGACCCCTCCCCTGGAGTTGGGGGTCTGCGCGCCCTGGGGCAGCCAGCGCGAAGGCTCGACCCCAGCTTCCCTCCCTTGCCGGTGACTCCCCGTGGACAGCGGAGGAAATGGAGAACCAGACCAACCTCGCTGTCCACGCCCCCTCAGGCTCGGACTGGCCCCGGCGAGCGCAGGCGCAAACTAGATGGCCCCCGCGGGCCGGACCAGCCGCCCGGGGGAGCGAGTCGCGCAGGCGCGCGGGTGCCCGACGGGGAGGCGAGCGGCCGTGGGACGTCAGCACGCAGGCACCGCCCGCTCCGTGCCAGGGGCGCGCGCTGCTGTGGACGTCAGCACGCAGGCGCGGGAGCCTGGCTCGGAGGGCAGTGGCCATCGGGGCTATAGCGCGCAGGTGTCCTGTCGGAGGCGGGGCCCGAGAGGCAGGCAGCGGATTTCCGGTTCCGGGAACAACGAACGGCCGCGGAGGCGACAGCTACTGCTCCGGAGGAGGCGGCTGCAGAGGAGGAAGAGTAGGACTAGGCGGGAGCGCAGGCTGGTTCCGCGCCATGGGCCCGCGGGCCTAGAGCGGCGGAAGCTCCCGGCCCGGTGCCAAGCTGGTGAGACAGCCGTGGGGGTGGGAGTGGAGAGCGCTCGGGCGGAGAATGGGGAGGAATTGACGCTCAGAACGCTGACGGGGAGCAATGAAGGGCCCTGGGCCCGACGAGGGGCGGAATGGCGGCGTCGAATATGGAAAGGGAGGAACGGGGCATTTCGGCAGAGGTCGGGAAGGAATGGGGCTCGGAGCGCTGACAGGTGAAGTGTCAGAATCCTAGGACGGGGACCGAGAGGCGTGGGGGCGGCAGAATGCCAAGGGGAGATGGCGGGGCCGCGGGTTAAGGAGAGAGAAATGGGGGTGCAGAACGCAGGGCGGGAGGGAGGCTAGGACGGGGGCTTGGGAGGACGAGGAGAAAGAGCGGGTGAGAGCACTGGCAGGTGGGGTGGCATGGCGGGGGGACAGCAAGGCGGGGCGCTGGGGCGGGGAGGCGTTCGGGATGCTAGGGCAGAAGTCGGGGTCTCGGTCTGCTGAGGGGCATGCAGGATGGAAGGTGGAGGGGCAGGCGTGGGCAGCAGGGAGGAACTGTGGGCCAGAACGCGGAGAAAGAGGGAAAGGAAGGGGCCGGGGAGCTCTTGGGCTGATGAATGGGAAGAATGAGGAGGCGGTCGGAGGATCTGGAGGAGTGGGGGGCTCTCCCGGCGCGGGGGCAGGGGAAGTCGAAGTCATCATAGTGCGGTCGCCGGGTAGGAGGGCGTCAGAGAAGGCTGGGGCAGCTAACACACTGGAGGAGAGACTTCGGGAACTCCTGGGTGAAGAAGATAGGGTGATGAGGAGATCCGGGCTAGGGGACTGAGGACCAGAGGAGCGGGGTGTCAGAGGGTGGGAGGAATGCGTTCTTGGACTGCGAGCGGACAGTGGGAGCGTCCTAGGTGACAAAGGGGGATAGGGCCCTTAGGCGAGAGACAGGGTGTCCTGTGCCGAGGACCGTTACCACAGGGGGAAGACAGGTTCTTGCGTTGGCAGGGGGAGAAATGACGGACTCTGTCTACAGAGGAAAAGCACACTGAGAACAGGGAGCATCGGCGGCAGGCTGGTGAGGAGGGGGAGGCCAGAGGCACTCTGAGCCAGGGCAGGGGAGAGGAAGGTGGGGATGGAGGCGCGCTTCCAAAGACGGTCTCGCTGTGCATCCAGTGCTTGGTGCGGCCCAGACCTCAGTCTCTCTCGTGTCCTCCCTTCTCCAACTTCGCAGGCTGCTGCTGCTCTCCAAGGCCTCCATGGCTGAGGACTGGCGGGACTGCCCAGCCCTGGGCCCTGGCTGGAAGCGCCGTGAAGTCTTTCGCAAGTCAGGGGCCACCTGCGGGCGCTCAGACATCTATTACCAGAGGTACTGGCAGAGTGCTGTGCACAGTCAGGCGTGGGGCTGGGCCTGCTTCAGGCTGGGGTGTGGTTAGACACTGGCAGATTCCACATTTGCAAATTCACCTGCTTAATAAAATTTATTTGTAACTGAAGTCAACACTCAAGGTGCTTTCGTGGCTATCTGTGGCCGTACAGAGCAGTGAAAAATTGGTCGCTTGATGCATGCGTTCCTAGCTGAGGCTGAACAAGGCCTTTGTGTTTCACCTTTTGGACTGCAGACAAGCGTCCTTGCCCAGTCGACTTCCTACCACGTTTTTTGCATTTCTGGGCTGGTGATTTAAAATGGCCCCCAAGTGTGCCGAAGTCTGAGAAGTGTGTTCTGAGTGTAAGAAGACTGTGATGTGCCTTAGAGAGATAACAGTGGGTTAAATAAGCAGCTTGCCGGCAGGAGTTGCAGCGCCTTTGGCTGTGGAGTTCAGTGTTAGGAGTCCAAAATGTGGTACCTCCAGAGGAAGAAGAGGAAACTTGCTAACGGGTGGGTGAAGCTGCTCCAGAGAGTACAGCAACAGAACAATCTGTAGCACTTGATGAGGTTATGGAAAAGACGGGAAAGCAGCTAAATTCGCGGATCCACGAAACGATGACCGATAAAGCATAGTGGCCAGTATTATGAGGAGAGCCGAAGTCATGTTACCTTGTTTTAGGAAAATATTAAACCCATCTCTGCTAGCGCTGGCTGGCTTGCACGTTTCAAAAGCTGATACGACGTGAAAAATGTTAAGCTTGCATGCGATGCAAGTTCTGCAGATCGGAAGTCTGAGGAAGGATTTTTGAAATACTTGCAAAGTGTTATTATAGGAAGAGAGTTACACGGAAGAGTGGGTTTTCAGTGCCAGTGAGGCCAGCTTACTTTATGAGATCGTTTGCAAACCTGTATAACAAATGTTCTTCAAAGCCCTTGTAAATGAATCATTCAAAGACTGTGCAGCTAATCATTTGTGACAGATAGCTGTTCAGTAAGGTATATTTAAATAGCAGCACATGAAATAAGGTTCTGTTTTGACTAATTGATGAAAATGCGACCATGAAACCTTGTGTTTCCCTAGAAGCAGTGGTTTCATATGTACTTTCTAGAACATAGCTACCGTAGTAATGAGAATTGACCGTCAGTGCGTAAATATAGGAGGTAAACAACATTTACACATTTTAGGATGTGTCAGTGACACAGTGATTGAATTTCCTGTGCTCATCTGGATTTCTTTTTGTATCTGAGCTGTTATGTCCTTAGAGAAGTATAATAGAAGAATAAAGACAATTGCTCTTCATCTATATTTAGGTACTGCTTATCTATATATTTATATGCTTGTATAAAGCGTTCAGTACTGTTAAGTGCAGTTGTGAAGAACTGTAAAGGATCCGAGATTTTACCTTAATGAGGACAAGAACACAAGTGAACTAGTTACAGTTTTGTGGAGGCTTGTAGGAGGCAAGCGACTCCTGGGACAGAGATGAAAGTTTATTACAGTAATAGCAGGATACGGAATATCATCACTCCTGTGTCAGTTTCCTGAACCCCAGTTCCCACAGGGACCTGTGAGGAGGGCTAAATAGCAGCTGCACGTGGAGTGGGTGGCATTGTCGGAAAGAGCGCTGAGCGTAGGGAATGAAAGCCTTTATAATGTTGGGTCACTAAGTTGCTTTTCCTTTGCTCTGGAAAGGACCCTATCTCTTATCTCCCAAGGTTGTTTGCTTTATAAACATTCTTGAAATGATAGCTGATGACAAAGGACCATTCGTGCCGCTCTTGCAGGGTGTGCAGAAGTGCGGACACTCACGGGGTATCGTCTTCCAACGTTCAGTACTTACACATGATTTTGTTTGTAATTCTACTGATTTACATTTCTTAAAACATTTTTGTCATAAGTTTTCTTTGCTAGGTTATGTGTTTGGTACTTGATGCTTATGTATTTACATGTTATTTAACGTAATTGTGTTTTTACTTATAAGTATTTTCAATGTCACTAGCATCAGGTGGTATAAATATGAGGGTACTTCAAAAAACTTGTGGAAAATGGAATTAAAAGGTCGAATTTATTTTGGTGCAAACACTTGAAATATGTGTAGTTGTCTTGTGATACACATTTTCCGTGTAATTTTTGAAGACTCCTGTGTGCATGAATTTCAAAATGTTCTGCATCAAAATAAACCTATCTCCTAATTCTCTTTATCCGCAAGCTTTGTGAAGTCTCTTCAGAGGTTCATGTCTTGTTTATGTTCGTACAGTCATGCATTGCTTAACAACTTGGACACTTTGTGTGCAACCATAGAGTGTACTTAAACAAATGTATATGATGTGGCCAACTACACACTTAGGCTATGTTATAGCTATGTGTTGGTTAACAGGGATATTTTTGAAAAACACATTAGCAGGTGATTTCATTATTGTGCAAATGTGGCATGTAATCACATAAACTCAGGCAGCTGTCACATCCCTTGGTGGGCAGTCTTAGGGGACCCCCAGCATATATTCAGTCTGTTGTGGCTCGAAACATCTTTATGCAGTGCTTGACTGTGTATGTGGTATAGCCTAATTGTGTCTAGGGCCCTGATGAACAAAACAACAGAAAATTGAAATCAAGAGAAAATGGTGCAGCCAGCAGTAGGGGCTGGCATTACGTTGCAGCAGGTAAAGTCGCCGCCTGCAATGCCAGCGGCCCACATGTGCACCAGTTCAATTCCTGGCTGCTCCACTTCCAGTCCGGTTCCCTGCCAGTGTGCCTGGGAAAGCAGTGAAAGATGACCCCAGTGTTCGGGCCCCTGCACCCGTGTAGGAGACCCAGAAGAAACTCCTGGCCCCTGCTTTAGTCTGGCCCAGCCCTGTCCATTTGGGGTGCAAACTGGTGTATGGAAGATCTCTCTCTCTTTCTCTCTTGTAAACTCTGACTTTCAAGTAAATAAATAAATCTTTAAAAAAAATAGAGATGCAGTAAACATGAGATACCTGAGGCTGCTGCTGGCAGAATATGGCATACTGTTTCATAGTAGAAGTTTTATTTATAATAAGTAAAAGCAGCATATTTAAAACAATTTGACAAAAAAAGGTAAATATTTAAAATAGTAACAGTTATTTTTATCAAGTATTACATACTACACATAATTGTTGTTCTTATTTTTTTTTAAGATTTATTTATTTATTTGAAAGGCAGAGTTACAGAGAAAGAGAGGTCTTCCACCCACGGGTTCACTCCCCAATTGGCCGCGATGGCTGGAGCTGGGCCAATCCGAAGCCAGGAGCCAGGAGCTTCCTCCAGGTCTTCTCACATGGGTCCAGGGGCCCAAGGACTTGAGCCATCTTCCACTGCTTTCTCAAGCCGCAGCAGAGAGCTGGATCAGAAGTGGAGCAGCCGGGACTTGAATTGGCACCCATGTGGGATACCTGCCATGCAGGCGGCTTTATCTGCTTTGCCATAGCGCCGGCCCCTGTTCTTGTACTTTTAATGACAGTGCAGTAGATTTGTTTACACCAGAATCTACCACAAACATGAGTAGTACCGTATGCTGTGATGTCATGCAGTGTGCTGTGACATCACCAGGAAATAGGAATTTTTCAGCGTCGTCATCTTCATGGGGCCACCGCTGTTTGCACAGTCTGTTGCCTGTTGTCCGGTGTCTCATGACTGTATTACTTATTAATGTTTATATACATGCTGATATTTATAGTCATAGTGTATGATCTTGCCACTGAGGGTTGGTTGGGGTAGGGCCTGAACAGGTCTCATGAGTGATATGGGTGGAATTACATTGGCTCCTCCTGGCCTCTCTCTAGCCCTACAGGAGATAGGATCCGAAGTAAAGTTGAGCTGACCAGATACCTGGGCCCTGCGTGCGACCTCACCCTCTTTGACTTCAAACAAGGTGTCTTGTGCTATCCAGCCCCCAAGGTACTGTATGAGAGGGGATGCCTGGGCCGAGGTGTCTGTGCCATCTAACACCTACGCACTTACACACGTTCCTCCTGCCCTTACACTCGTCTCCAGGCCACTTCTTTGCCCACACCCAGCAAGAAGCGAAAGAAGGCGTCAAAACCAGCCAAGGCTCGGAAACGTGAAGTTAGGCCACAGAAGGGTGAGGTCAGGAAAGAGGTCCCCAGGGAGGAGCCCAGAGCGGCCACTGATGCACCCCCTGCTGCGTTCCCTGCCCCTGGGTGAGTGTTGGCCTGAGGTGAGCCAAACGGATGAGGGTTGTGACTGGGGGTACTCTCAGGGCCCCACACCCATTTTTCCCATCACAGGTGCTGTGAGAATTGTGGAATTCGTTTCTCAGGGGATGGCTCCCGAAGGCAGCGGCTCAAGACGTTATGCAAGGACTGCCGAGGTGCGTGGCTTCTATGGGATGGGGCGGTGGGCGGTGAGCGCTAGAGCCGGCCTGGGATCAGGCTGGGCCGGAGGTTGGCTGGTCGATGTTAAGACCAAGGCTGCTGGCATGGCTATGGGTTGAGCGTTGGATGTATCAAGCCTGGGTGGAGGTTGAATGGGGGAAGAAGGGGCGAGGCGGCAGGTGAGGTCAGGGTCCGTGGCTGCATTTCCACACCTCCCCTTCTCTCAGCACAGAGAATCGCCTTCAACCGGGAGCAGAGGATGTTTAAGGTAAGTGCACCTGCTTCCTCCTCACAACTCTGCAGTGGGGGCAGGCTGTGCTGGGGCTGCTGCAGTTCTGACAGACTGGCGATGGGCCCCAGGGTGCCATAGGGAGCTAGCCATGGTCAGCAGATACAGGAGTGGCCGTTACCGGGGTGTCTGTAGATGGGGCTGAAGTAGATGGGAGACCAGTGGACATGGTCACTGGCCTCTGTTGGCGGCTCAGTACTGGTCACATACGGTGACGAGGCTAACGGACTAGCAGACGTGGTGATGGAAGCCGATGTTGGGTCAGCAGACGCAGGACGGGCAGTGCTCCTGGAGCCACCCTGCCTGGGCCTGTGACCTTGCCCCACCCGTTCCTGGCAGCGTGTGGGCTGCGGGGAGTGTGCAGCCTGCCAGGTAACTGAAGACTGCGGGGCCTGCTCCACCTGCCTCCTGCAGCTGCCCCAGGACGTGGCCTCGGGGCTGTACTGCAAGTGTGAGCGGAGACGCTGCCTCCGGATTGTGAAGAGGGTGAGTCGGGCAGGTGGGGTGGGCCCAAGGCTCACCCCAGCCCCTGCCCCTCATGGCCCTGACCCCATGCGGCACGCCTCTGGACCCCCACAGAGCCAAGGGTGCGGAGTGTGCCGGGGCTGTCAAACCCAAGAAGACTGTGGCTGCTGCCGAGTCTGCCTGCGTCCTCCCCGTCCTGGTCTCAGGCGCCAGTGGCGGTGTATCCAGCGGCGCTGCCTACGGGTGAGTCGGGCTAGAGGGGCCCGCGCCGGGGTGGGGGCCAGGGCTGGGTTAGAACTCTTTCTGCTGTTACAGTTGCCACTGCCGCTCTGCTTTTTCTCAGCCTAGCCTTGCCCACCTCATGTCTTCTTTTCTATTCCACCCCACGCTCACGTCCTGGTCCCACCTACTTGCCTCTGTCTGCCAGCACCTTGCTCACCGCCTCCGTCGTCACCATCAGCGATGTCAGCGACGCCCTCCCCTGACTGTAGCCCCCCCTCCTGTGAGTTCTCGCTCCGATCTCTGCCTGCCTATCCTATGCATGCCTTCTGCACTCCCAGGCAGCCTGGTGTCTGCCTGGTGTCATCAAGGCCCAACCAGCTTTTGACTTTCTCCTAGGGTAAACGTGGCCGCCGCAGGGGAGGCCGTGACTCGAAGGCAGCTCCCCGGAAGCACTCCCGAGCCCAGCCACTGCCTCCCCTTCTCCCGTCGCAGCCTCCAGAACCCACAGAGCTGGTGAGGCCCCAGTGGGCGGGGGAAGGCACAACCCTACCCTTATCCGGTACCTGCCCTGACCCAACCCCGTTTGCCTCTGCAGCACCCCAGAGTCCTGGTCCCCTCGCCACCTGCCGAGTTCATCTATTACTGTGTAGAGGAGGACGAGCTAGTGAGTGGCCCCACCCTACCTGGATAAGTCTAGACTCCTCAGGACTCTTTCTTGGTCTGATGGGGGCAGCAAAGCACAGGCACAGTACCAGGGTTGGGTGAGCAGGTCATGGGGAATGGGTGAGTGTGGACCAGCAGGTGCAGTGACAGTGCCTGATGTTCGGAGAGGCAGCACTGTGGTGACTACTGCAGGACCAGCAGACGACGGTGGTCAGTCTGTAGAGGAGTGGCTAGTCCATTGGCTGGGGTTTTTATGTAGGAGGCACAGACAGGATCAGCATGGTGATGGGAGATCTTAGAATCACAAACTCCTGCTTGAGGTAGGGATCAAAAACAGCCAGGTAGCAGGTGAGGGCCTCTGACACTGAAGGAGCAGCCACAGTCCTGATGGCCTCAAGGGCCAGCTGACACGGTGGGAGCGGAGAGTCAACAGACTGAGACTGGTGTGCTGCTCGCCCCCCCGGACACCAGGAGCAGCAGTGCACTAGGTGCTGCTGAGGAGGGCCTCTCCTGGGCCTGGAGACAGTACCGCCTGTTTCTCCCCAGCAGCCCTGCGCCAACCGCCGGCAGAACCGGAAGTGCGGGGCCTGCGAAGCCTGTCTGCGGCGGGTGGACTGCGGCCTCTGTGACTTCTGCTGCGACAAGCCCAAATTTGGAGGCAGCAACCAGAAGCGCCAGAAGTGTCGTTGGCGCCAGTGCCTGCAGTTTGCCATGGTGGGTGGGGCAGGAGGGGTCAGGGCATAGATTGGGTTGGGCCTGGGAGTGGTGGGCATGCTGGGTGGGTGGGTTGCTCAGTGGCTTTGATTCGAGATCGGCAGACACTGTGCTGGGGTGAGTGAGCCTCCGTGGCGCTGGCATTGCTAAGAGGAGAGCAGCAGGCTCTCTGGTGCAGGACTCACGTACGCACATCCTGTGCTGGAACCAACAGGAGATATGCGCACTGAGCAGTGCATGGGGTGTGGTCACTCATGCCGCCAATTGCCACAGTATGCCATCTTTCATTACAGAAGCGGCTGCTGCCCAGCACTGGGTCAGGGTCTGAGGACGGGGCAGGATCACCCCCACTTCATCCTCGACGGAAGAGAACTGGCGCTGCTCGACGGCCTCGCCTGGGCCCCACCCAGAAGCACCCTTTGCCGACGCACACAGTTCGATCAGACCATGTCCAGGCCCCAATGAAGCAGGAAGCAGGTGGTGGCTTCGTGCTGCCCCCACCTGGCACCGACCTTGTGTTTTTACGGGAGGGCGCAAGCAGTCCTGTGCAGGTGCCGGGCCCTGCTGCAGCTTCCACAGAAGCTGTGTTGCAGGTGAGGGCCCCACCTTATCTTGCCCTTCCCAGCTCCACCCACCCTCGTGCCCGGGAGCTGAGACCGAGTCTGCTGCCATCCTCCCTCCTGCAGGAGGCCCAGTGCTCTGGCCTGAGTTGGGCTGTGGCCTTACCCCAGGTGAAGCAAGAGAAGGTGGATGCCCAGGAAGAGTGGACACCGGGCACAGCTGTTGTGACTTCTCCCATAATGCAGCCTGGCTGCCCTAGCAAGGTGGGGCAGTGATGGGGGCCCTGCGTGCCATGGCGGGGTGGTCTGTAAGCAGAGTGATGGAGAGCCATGATGGTTCTTTGAGCTGAGTGACAGGTGTGCGTGCTGTTTGCAGCCTTGCCGCAGGATTACCCTGCCTGCCTCGCAGATACCACCCCTCCACAGGCAACCTAACTGCCTGCTTTGCTGCCCTACTAACAGGAAAGTGGAGAGCAGTGATGGATGGGATGGGAAAGGTTTGTAGGTAGAGAGGTGACATTTCTGTGCTGAGCTGTTGGGGAAGTGGGATTTGTCAGCGCAGTGACAGGTTGGCTGATGGAGACTTCTCTTGGGCTGATTCTGCCCTTCTAACTGCTGCCCATTCCCACTTCTCCCAGGCAGTAGACGCAGGCCTGCCACCTGTGAAGCAAGAGCCACCTGACCCTGAGGAGGACAAGGAGGAGGAAAACAAGGATGACTGTGCCTCTAAGTCGGCCCCAGAGGAGGAGGCAGGAGGGGCTGGCACGCCCGTGGTCAGTGCTAGGGGATGCCCTGCCCTGACCTGATTCTGCCCTAGGCCCTGTAGCCATGTTGACCCATGATGTTAATTCTTCCCTAGATCACGGAGATTTTCAGCCTGGGTGGAACCCGCTTCCGAGACACAGCTGTCTGGTTACCAAGGTGTGCCCCAAACAGTGAGGGGTGGGGATGGGGCGGGCCCTGAGTTTTAAAAGACCAGCCAGCAGTTTTGGTGTGGTGCAGTGGGAGGTAGAGGCCCCATGTCCACCGTGCTGATCACTCACAGTGAAGGGGGGGTTGTTTGTAGGCCCCTAGAGATTTGCCCTCAGCCCCAGCCCAAAGTGTTCAAGACAGGACTCTCCTTTGGGGGTATGGGGAGAGGATTTGATGTCCCTGTGATGAGACTTGGAAGAACAAGAAAGAGAAGGAGGGTCTAGTTTCCATCTCCCTGGAAAATCTTGCAAGGGTCAGATTTGACATAAATTCTTATTCAGAGTATCATCAGGTAGGGTCGTTAAGGCCTTTAGTCTCTGAGAGATGGCTGGCTGCCTGTCACCAAATGATAGAGTGTGGGTCACAGAAATGGTGCTGGGCTGGCTCTGTGAACTGAGTCCATGCACAACTGTGTGATTGCTAGTTTGTCCTCACCTCTTGGAGCAGCCTCTGTGGAGGGGCTTAGGCTGGGGCCTGCAGCCTCTCCTGAGCATGTTGAGGTTATTAACTGTTGTAGCTGCCATGCAGATCTGTCCCAGTAGGCCTGTTAATAGGGCGAGGGGTAGGTGCCTGTGAGGACCTGGATGGTGGGAAGAGGACAGGGGAATGCTGCATCCTACAGAAATATCTACAGAGCCCCTGCCCCCCAGGCCCAGGCCTAAGCACTTGCATTCCTTTGTTCCTGCAAACCAGTTCCAGAAAGACAGAAACCCCTTAGCTGTACCTGGGCGATTACAGAGGTACCGATTGAGCTCCTGCCAGCAGTGCGAGAGAGCGGTGAAGAAAATGAGCCCTGTAAGGGTTACCCCTCAGAGACACAGGACCCTACCTTCAGGGAGCATAGAATCTAACTGGAATGTGTCCCTGCGTGAACAGTCATTACATGTTAGCAGTCAGGGGGCTGTGCTGTCTGTAATGGTGCTTTTGAGAAGAGTAAGAGAAGGGATGATTTCGGGGGAATGGATGGAGGGTGCAGAATAGTAGGAAATGGTTTGTGATGCTCCGCCTTCCACAGAGCCAACCTCTTTCAACATACAGACCTCCCTCTTCCCTAGGTCCAAGGGCCTTAAAAAACCTGGAGCTAGAAAGCAGTAGACTGGAGGCTTCTGCAGACTGTAGGATTCAAGGTGATACTTACAGACCGGCTTTTTGAGCAACAACCCTGACCTAGGGGCTGGATGGTAGACTGACTGCCAGGGCTTGTGTGTCACTCAACCTTAGGAGGAAAAACCTACCACTTAACCAGAGAAGCAGGCCTAGTCTGGCCTCTTCCAGCTGACAGAGGAAGTAAGCGGTGGGTTAAAGGTGGTGCACCTGCTCCTCCCCAGGAGCCTGAGAGTGATCAGGAGCTGAGGAGCTGAGGTGGGGAAGGGGGTTTAAAATTAAAGCCACCACAGGACGATCTAAACACGCCGCCTTCCTAAATAATTTAACATGGTTCCTGGGTGAGACCTGGCAGGGTCTCTAAACATGTCCTCAGGGAGACAGCAAATGAAAATGGAACGTGAGTGAACGGGGCAAGGCCAGGAGCGGCTGCCTGGTGAATTCCGCCCTTGGACTCAGTTTACTCAGTCCTCAAACAGTCTTTAAGAAGACATTGGTTTGTCCGTCTTTGTAGATGGAATACTGAGACTCAATGGAATGAATGTGTCCAGTGTCACAAACAGCTGATGCTGGTAGAGCCTAGAGTGACAACCAGGCTGGGAAGGCCTCTGTTAAGCTACTGAACCGTAAACTGCCGTCCTGTGTGCAATAATGCAAACTCGTACAGGAGCAGGAGTCTTAGAGACTAGGAAACACACACTGCAGTACTACAAGAGCGGTCATAAGTCCCTCCCACTCCTGCCTCTGGCGTGGCTTAGGGAGTTGCGTGACTCCCTGCAGCCAGGGTCCCCGTGGTGTCCAAGCCTCACGGGATTCCTCCAACCCTCGGGGGTCACCCTTGCTACCCGCTGCTCCCCACTTCGCTGCTATTGTGACTCTTCCTCCCTCAGCCAGAGCAGCCTTTGCAGCTAAAGCTACCAGTCTGGCCCATCGATCCTGACAGCATCCATTTCTGCCCCAGCCTGAGTGTCTACCAAGAGACTGAATTCCTGTTTCAAACGTTGCCCAAGGGCTCGTCTTGGCTCAATCCTACCTCCCTCTCCAAGTCTTCATTCATAAAATGCCTACTGAAAAAAGAAAATGAAAAAAAAAATGGTAGAGCTGTCTTTTGTTACTTGGCCAGCTTTACAAGATGAGGACCAAGTGAGCACCTCCCTAAATTTTGTATCCCGTCTCTAGCCTTACCCTTGTCCCAGCGGTGTCATTTAATTTGGATGTAAATGAGCAGTTTCCCAATTCTAATGCAGAAGATACAGCCCTCTGCCCCACCCTGGTTAGATCTAACCACCCTGGTTAGATCAGCCCTAGTCCAGACTGGGTAATCTGACACTGCTGTTTCCTCTTGAGAATCCAACCACCCTACCCTAGTATTCTGTTTGGTCATGTTCAAGGCAAAATTTATTTGATGTGGCATTCTGGCTCCTGAGTTCAGAGTGATCGCCATGGATATTAGGGTTCAATGAGAAGAGCAGAAGCATCAAGGTAAAGATGAGGTGTTATTTCGTTTGCAGAGGGTTCATCATAGGGCTTTGGCCTTACCTGAGAACTGGTGTAGCAGTCTCCGTGAGGCTGTGTCATGCATCTAATGCTGGGGCTTGAAGTCTGCAGGGCAGGCAGTCGGGAAGGGAAGATGGATGTAAAGTGTGGGAGACCGAGGACACGCTGGCGCCCACGAGCACGAGCTGGGACCCTCGAAGATGGCCCGGACCCCTTAGCAGTCTCTCGCCACCTTCAGCTTCGATGATGTGGGTGTCCTGCAGAAGAAGCCGGTGCCCTTCTTCACAGTTAAATATGCACCCGGCCCAGGAACTCTAGAGAAGCTGAAGAGCCCAGGCAAGGTGGGGCAGCTGCAGGCCTGGCTGCAGGCCTGGCCGCTGCCCCACGTCCACGAGGTGAGCCAGCAGATACATGCCAGCGTGCGCGAACTGCGACAGCGCGGGGTGCCCCTGCACCCACTCCACGTGTAAAGAGTGTGCTGCTGCTCCACTTCTGTCCTCCAGTTCTGAGTCTCTGTGGCCCATCCTAACCGGAAGCATACAGGGAAGGGAGTTCTGGGAAACATAGCCTAGCCCAGGTGACACAGAGCCACTCTGCCGGGAATCACCTCCCAAGGGCCTCCCTACTCACCTGAGGATAACTTGATAGAACTACAGCAACGCAAAGCTGAAGCCCATGGATTCCATGGTGACGCCAGCAAGTACAGAAATTCTGTCAAGCCCACCCAGAACAAACTTGCTGGCCTCGGCTGTCTTTGCGTCATTCATTCAAGTATTGACAACCTCGCCCATGGGAGGCACTGTACTTAATACTGGGATACAGAAATGAAAAAAAAAAAAAAAGGTCCATGCAATTTTATTAAATGCATCAGTGTGTATTATAAATGGTGACTGGATTTCCAAGTTTATCATGGATTTTAATGCTGGAAGTAGTTCAGGAAATGGGAAGACAGCACTTGTATGAACCTTGTTGGGGCACAACAGGAATTGGAAGTAGTTTATATCGTTAAGCTATCTTACTCTAAAATTATTTTTAAATGATTTTTATTGTCACATGTACTGATTTTTATTCTTAGTGTTTCTTTTGGGAGCGTCTTGGTGGTGGTAACTGTTGACGGCTGTGGGAAGCAGGGGTAGTAGGTGTCGGTTATGTCGAGGACCTTGGGCCGATCACTACCGCAGGCTCTGGGGGTGGGTGGCTGACGGCTGGGCTCTCCCTGCCCGGCCCCCCGCCCGGCCCGGCCCGGCCTCTGTCTCCGGATGCGCCCTCCAGGGGGCGCCGGGGCGGGATCGCCCGCGCTTCCTGGCCGCGGTCGTCCCACCGGGCCCGGGAGACAGCTGCCCGTTACCCCCGGCCCTGCCGCTCCGGGGCGTGGCCTCCGCCCGGCACCAATACCGGCCCTGGTGCTGTGCCCCGAGGGAGGCCATCTTCAGAGGGACGCAAAACGGGCACGGCCAAGCCAGAGTTGAAGGACGGGGCCGGGGACCGACGCTGCGACGTCCGAGAGCTGCTGGGTGTCGCCAGGCGTCGGCATGCCTCGTCGCCTCCGAGAACGCGTTCCGACGGGACCCTCCGGGCTGCACACCTCGAGCTTCGGCTGTTCCCAGACCAGGCCCCGGGCCGGGCCTCCCCGGGGTGCGGGGTGGGGGGCGTTCCGCCCGGGTCAGGAGCCCATGGCACTCGAAGGTCGAGGGGCCCCCGCCTCGGGGCGCGGCCCAGGGAGTGGCGACCACCTCTAATGTCTGTCTGTCTTCTTTCAGGCTACGCAAACTCTTAGCAGTAAATGAGAATGAGTATTTTACCGAACTGCAAGTGAAAGAAGAAGCGTTATAGGAGAGGACAGAAGACGCCGGGGGAAGTATTGAGAGATTATTGAAAGAGAAGAAAGTTTATTTTGTGGCGGAAGAGCTGAACAACACAAAACGGAATCCACATCTAGAAACTCACCGCCTTCAAACCCCGAAGCGGTGGATTGCGAAGATGAAGGGGGTGCCGAGGACGGGCGCCCTGCGCGCGGCCCCATTTTAGCGTGGGAGCCCCAAAGTGTCATTCCTGATTGGCTCTTAGGCGTCGGCTACCTTGCTCTTGACTGGCAGTGGACCTGTGGTCTCCACCTGTGCGAGGGCCCGTTTTAGGTTCCCTCATTTGTAGCGCCTGCGATCCTGATTCTCAGGAACCCACCACCCCGGACTTGTGACGGTGCCCGCCGCGACCCTCGGGCTGTGTTGTGCCCACCGGGCGGCGCCGCTGCCCCTGTCCTGGGTGCAGGGCGGTGGCTCACACGTGACGGCCGGCCGGCGGGTTGAACGAGGCACTTAGGCTCCCTGAGCCACACTCGCGCTAGTTGTGAGGTGAAGACGGCTCCTGCTGTTCTGCCAACCCTATAAGATATTTGTTGAGTCTCGAAGGTTGTATGTGTGAAAGTATCTTGCAATTTGTAAAAACTACGCAAACACAAGGTTGGCCTGTGGTGATTCTTGCCGCCCGAGGAACGCTGTCGAGGCCTTCCCGTCAGCGCCCGCTCGCCTGTGCGGTGCTTTCGGGCGGGCTCCGGGCTGGGGCTCAGGGCTGCAACCCGGCGAAGCCCCGGGGGCGCGGCCGGCGGGGTCCGGCGGGGGCGGGCGGGCGGGCTGCGGCTGGCGCAGACTCCGCCTCCCGGCCGCCCGAGGGAGCGCGGCGGCTGTGGCCCCCATGGCGACGGGGCCGGCTTCCGCCCGGCGCCCCGCGACGCGCACCATGGCAACCGAGTCGCCGCGCTGCCCGCTTCCTGAGAGGACGCGGCCATGTACAGCCAACGGTTTGGCACCGTGCAGCGGGAGGTCAGGGGCCCCACTCCCAGAGTGGTGGTCGTGGTAAGCGCGGGCGGGATGGGGGGGGAGTCTGGTGCGCGGCCCGTGTCCGCCCCCACTCCGGCCACGTTTGGTCTGCATTTGGAAAATCAGTATTTGGATCTGGGGGCTTTCCTGTCGCCTTGTAATGGGGAGTGGGTGTGGCAGAAGGGGCCCAGGGCTGGGGCCTGGGCTGGCCCGGGGTCAGCGGGCTGATGATCTTGGGCCGGGTTGTGCCCCTGGGAAACTAGGACGTGGAGGGGTTGTGGGGGGGTTGGAGCCGCTTCCGGGTCAACTCCACCGGTGACTCAGACCAGGAGAGCTGCTGGTCCACACACGTGATTCCCTTATTCCTGCAGGCAGTTACGGAGTTAGTGCTCAAGCCCTGGATGTGTGCACAGCACTGTGGGAGACGCAGGGTGGACGCAAGTGACCTGGGAGGGCTGCCCTTCCTTCCCAGCTCTGAGTGCAGAAATAGCTTGCTTATGCAAGAAGCCGTTCGCGGCTCACACACGTGGTTAGCAGGGGTGAGCTGGGAGGACACTCTCTGAAAGAAAGACGGGGCAATCAGTTCCATGCTCCACAGCGCACTGAGAATTTTAGTCAAGGTACAACGTACTTCCTCTTCTCTAGGCCCAGGGTGAGCAGGATCTGGAGCTGAAAGCAGCGGACAAGTTTTCTTTAGGTTGTAGGATTCAAGGTGATGATCGCAGACGTAATGCGAGACAGAAGTGGATCTATCCTGGGTTCTGTATCCAAGCACAGAGCTCAGTGGCTGGGTTTGTTGGGTGCTGCTACTTGTGTTGGGGACCAATAAGGAACAGGAAGCAAACAGAACAACAAAGCAGAGAAACTAGGCCTATTGAATACTTGGCGCCTATAGCCGGATTAGAAGGAAGAGGCTAGAGTTGGTGCACCTGCTACTTCTCAGGTGTCTGTGTGATAAGAACTGTAGCTGCTTTAGGTGGCAGGGCCGTTAGGGGAAGAATCAAATTCAATTGGGCCCTAAACAATCCCCAGGAAAAAGCAATAAAATAAATGTAACGTTTGAGGTAAGGGAGAAGCAAGGGGAGCTGCTGTTTGATGAGCGCCCAGTACAAGGACATTTAGCTTGCTCCTCCGACAGTTTGAAAGCTGCGACTCCGAGGTTCGTAACTTGTTCACACATTTAGTGAGGGGGAGAGAATGAAACCTAGGGAGTGAGACGTTGTTCTTTGAGATGTTCAACTGTAAGCTGGAATCCTAGAAAATAGAATTTGGGCTATTAGAGCAGTGGTCTTGAAAACACATGTTAGTACATCCTGTGTCCTGCCTTTAACCTTGGTTAGATCTGCGATGTTCAATATGATAGCCAATAGCTATTGAACACTTGAAATGCACAGTCACCTGTTAATATATTACTTTGGGTATATTGGTTAAATAAAAGATACTGTTAAAATTCATTTTCCCTGTTTTTTTTTTAATTTTTAATGCAACTACAAAGCATTTTAAATTGTGTATGTATTTTGCACTGTATTTCTATTGCACAGTGCAGGTTTTAAGCAATGCCAGACCACCAGGATTGGCATCACCTTGTTGGAGAACTACAGGTTGTACCATATTCTTCCCGAGACTGGGGCCTCCCAAGACCAGAGTCCTGCCTGGAGTGCCCCAAGCCTTCCAGGGCTTCTTGGCCATGCTGTTTGTCACCACCCCTCGCCACTCTTCCTCTCCAGCCACAATGCTCAGCCCGGTTCCTGTCCTGACGACTGGAGGCAATTGTTTCTCCATGACCCTGATGCTTGCTTCCTGTCCCAGCCCATGGGTCCCCTGGGAGCCTGAGTTCCTGTTGTGTATTCTGCCAGAGGTGCAGCCCTGAGCCTGCTGTGTTGTCACAGACGGTGCTTTCATAAAATGCCATAAATATCAGACAACAGTACTCTTCAACAAACAAACTCCAAATAATTCTGATAATGGATTACCCACCGTAACTATCAACACTGTCGTCTTATTCCCCTCTACCTTCACACCTGCCTTATCTCATTCAGCTACATCTAGGTACCTATACGTTACCCCAACCCCTGAGTTTTGTTCAGCAAGCCATGTTCAGATGTTGGTTGTCTTTCCCCGGGATGCTTTACAACAAACACCTAAACCTTGAATGCTTGTAATCCTGACAGTGGTGGTTTCAGTGTAGGTTATCAGATTGGGATCTCTGTCTCCTGAGTGAATTTGGTAAGTGTTGCACCGCTACCCAAGGAGGACTTGGCAAAATGGTTGCTGAAACCACAAAGCTCTGCACTTGGATTTCATGGTGGCTCAAGGGGTGCAGAAATTGCATCAAGCCCACCCAGAAACTAACTTCCTGTATGCCTTCCTCCCTCTTCTCTCTTCTCCCTCCTCTCTCTCTCTCTCTCTCTCTCTATATATATATATATATATATACACACACACACACACACACACACACAACTTTTAATTGAAAGTATTTTGATAACTATGGAGTCTACCCTTGAGAAACAATGTGGGATAGTGGGTGGCAAGGTTAATGTTGGGGCTGTGGTGTAGCAGGTAAAGCTGCTTCCTGCAGTGTCAGCATCCTGTATGGGCACCAGTTCAAGACCCAGCTGCTCCACTTCTGATCCAACTCTCTGCTATGGCCTGGGGAAGCAATGGAAGATGGCCCAAGTGCTTGGGTCCCTGCACCCACGTGGGAGACCTGGAAGAAGCTCCAGGCTCCTGGCTTCAGATCGACCTGGCTCCGACTGTGGCAGCTATTTGGGGAGTGAACCAGCAGACGGATGACACCACCACCACCACCACCACCGTGCCTCTCTGTAACTCGGCCTTTCGAATAAGTAAATCTTAAAAAAATAAAAAAATTAAAAAAAAAAGAAAAAGAAAAAAAGATAAGGCCAGCAATTCAAAGACCTCTAATTCTTGTTCTATCCAGATCTGCCCCATGTGCCGCACCATTCAGCGTGTCTGGGTTTGACTAGGTAATCTCTAGTCATGTTCAGATTTTTACCTATCTACTTTTTACCATCTACTTTTACTCTAACAGCACTTTGGGAACACAGATGGTCCCTGATTTAAACTGGTCTGACTTAGGATTTCTTGACCTGACAGTGGTGTAAAGTAATGCACATTCTGTAGAAACCGTACTTTCAGTTTTGAATTTTGGTCTTCTTCCAGACCAGCGATAAATGGTCCAGTCCTCTCTGGTGCTGCTGACTTGTGGCAGGAAGCTGCCCTGCAGTGTGCTGGTTTCTAAGCCACGATGTTTGGTACCTTAGGTGCAGTCATGCATATTTTTTTTAAAAAAGATTCATTGATTTATTTTAAAGGCAGAGTTACAGAGAGGCAGAGGCAGAGAGAGAGAGAAAGGTCTTCCATCCACTGGTTCATCCCCCAAGTGGCTGCAATGGCTGGAGCTGTGCCGATCCGAAGCCGGGAGCTCCCTCCAGGTCTCCCACGTGGGTACAGGGGCCCAAGGACTTGAGCCTTCTTCTATTGCTTTCCCAGGCCATAGCAGAGAGCTGGATCAGAAGTGGAGCAGCCAGGACTGGAACTGGCACCCATATGGGATGCTGGCACTGCAGGTGGGGGCTTTACCGGCTACACCACAGGGCCGGCCCCCGTTATACATTTTTGATTTGTCACATTTCCAATTTATGATGGATTTACTGGGAATGTAACTGCAACCTGAGTTGAAAGCATCTCCATCTGAGACTGATTTGATGGTATCTTAGGTATACGTTCAGAGAATCAAATGAAGTTAGTCCTTAGGTGCCTAAACTGATTTCAACTGCAGCAGGAGGTCTTGTTAGTTTTTTATACCCAGTTTTTATGGATTTTTTCTTTTGGTATGGTCATTGGTGGAAGTCATAATTAGTTGGAAATGTGCTGTTGATGTTTGGCTTATCCTGAGTGACAGTTTGCTTTGGTTGCCAGAGAGCCAAGCCTCCGAAAGGCCGAGTGGCAGAGCAGCGTCTGGAAAGAATACAGCGGAGCCATCAGGAGCATCATGCTGTTCTGGCTTCCATCAGGTCAAAAGATCGGGATCGCTTGAAAGTTGAGTGGGAGCAGCACCATGACCGCAGGTTTTGGGATAGCCTGGTGCAGGCGAGAGTCAAGGATGCCATGCAGGGATTCATCATCAACACTGAAGAGAGGCGAAATAAGTAAGGCCCCCGACTTGATGCTGCAGGCGGCAAAGCCTTAAAACCACAATCTGGGACTGACCAGTCCAACGTCAAGTTCAGGGGCAGGGGTTAAGACACCCACATCCCATATCAGAGGGCCCCACTCTGCTTTCAATCCAGCTTCCTGCCAAGGCACACCCTGGGTGGTAGCAAGTGACGGCCCAAGTACCTGGGTCCCTGCCATCTGTGTAGGGCACCCAGATGGAGTTCTGGGCTCCCAGTTTCTGTCTTGCCCAACCTTGGCTGTTGTGGGCTTTTGGAAAAACCTTTCTTTCTTTCTCTGTCATTTTGCCTTTCAAGTGTTTTTGTTGTTGTTGTTAAATCAAGTATAGTAAGGATTGTGGCTGAAATAATCATATTCATCAATGCCTATTGATTGTTAATAATTTTACTTGTGATAACCTATGTTTTGAAGGAAAGCTTTGCTTTTTTCATTACTTTTAATTAAAATACATTGATTTTGCTTGTTTTGTTAAAGATGTGCCTTATTGCTATGTGATCAAATACAATATAGCACAGATCAGTCTCTGTATTGCTGTAAGTGGCAACTGGCCTCATTTGAAAGGAGACTGCAATGATCTTTTCATTCTCATAAAGTTTATGATTGGATAGGTTTTCTGCAATTGAACATAATAAATAAAAATCAATAAAATGGTGCATGTGCCATGATGGTTTTAATTTTTTGTTTGTTTCAGGCTACGTGAACTTTTAGCAGCAGAAGAAAATGAATATTTTGCTGAAATGCAAATGAAAGAAGAAACCATTGAGGAGAAAAAAGATAGAATGAGAGAGAAGACCAGGTTGTTAAAAGAGAAGAAAGAAAAAGAGAGACAGGATTTTGTGGCTGAAAAACTAGACCAGCAATTCAGGTAATGAAGTCAGAAATACACACAGAATCTGAAGTTGGCATATTGGCAAAGATGCAGGAATGCTGGTTTACAGCACACCATGGCCTTTGCAGGGTACACCTCGAAGTCACACCTTCAGGTCTTGGTAGTTGTATTCTGGATGAGTGACTAATACAGGCTGAGTCTGGCTGAGAACTGTGCCTCCCAGTTGACATGGAAGTCCTGAGACAGGTGGTCTCCATCTGTGCGGGCTGTGTGCTGGGTTCACTGATCTGTATTGTCAGCTTCCTTGCCTTGTGTCCTGATCCTCGGGGTCTGATCGCCTGCACTTCTGATCTACTTCCCAAGCAGACCCACGGATCCTCGCTGTACTCATGCTGATCTTGTGGGTGCCCCGTACCCCTTTTCATCTGGCTGTTCCATCTGGGATACCCGGAGTCTGTGCGGCTTTTAGCTGGGACTGTGCACTTACGGAGGGAAGTGTGGAAGGAAGTCCGCAAGGGTGATCCCAAGGCTCTCTTGTTTTGCACCATCAAGACCTTGGCAGAGGTTTCTTGTTTTTTTTGTTTGTTTGTTTAAAGATTTATCTACTTATTTGAAAGGTAGAGTTACAGAGAGAGAGAGGGAGAGAGAGAGAGAGATCTTTCACTTGCTGGTTCGCTCCCCAATTGGCTGCAACAGTCGGAGCTGCGCCAATCCAAAGCCAGGAGCCAGGAGCTTCTTCTGGGTCTGCCATGCAAGTGCAGAGTCCCAAAGACTTGGGCCATCTTCTACTAGTTTTGGCCATTGCAGCCATTTGGAGAGTGAACCAGAGGATGGAAGACCTTTCTCTCTGTCTGTAAGTGTACCTCTCAAATAAATAAATAAATAAAATCTTAAAAAAAAAAAAACTACTCTCTTTTTTCTCAGATTGGTTTCATCTTACCCCCTTGTTGCATTCACATCTGTTCAGTGCAGTGATGATCATATGATATGGCCCACAGAAAGTCCCAAATTATCTGCCTCATCTTTTAATTCTAGAGTAACTGGTTATGATTTTTATCTTCAGAGTGATTTTTATTTTTATTTTATTTTTTATTTGAAGGCAGAGTGGCAGAGAGTAAGAGAAACAGAGAGAGAGAGAGAGAGAGAGAGAGAGAGATCTCCCATCCACTTGTCTGCTCCCCAGATGGGCCGGGTCACAGCCAGGAATTCTATCGTGGTCTCCCGTGTGGGTGGCAGGAATCCAAGTATTTCCATCATCCATTGCTTCCCAAGCATAGCGGGAAGCTGGATCAGAGGCGTGGAGTAGCTGGGACTCGAGCTAGGCTCCCTGCTGTGGGATACAGACATTGCAGCCCCTGGCTTAACCCGCAGCACCACCACGGCCACCTTTCCAGAGGGATTCCTGCAGTTCATTTCTTGGAAGTGTTTAGAACACAGCTGCTAGCCTCATTCATGTATTCAACAAGTATCTTTTGAGCTCCTAATTTGTGCTGGGCTCTGTGATAGAATAGTGGGTTGAATGCCTTAGCAAAAAATGAGTGTCACTTCAGTCATGAGGTCACCAGGTGTGAGGCAGGCAGAGTGTGTCTGATGGACGCTGGTCCAAGAGTAAAGGTAAACCCTGAGTTAAAATCTGCAGGGACCCAGGGGTACAAGAGTTCTCTTTGCACAGCGCTCATAGTCAGAGTGAGTCAGAAACCAGAGAGCAACCGGCGTGAGAAAGCAGCAAACTCAGGTGTGTGGAAATGTGTCAGGCCATGTAGGAAATGTGTGAATATGGGCAAGATGCGTGACAGCTCTGTGCTTCTGTTTGCTCATCTGTAACCTGAGCATAATAATAATTATTATAAATGTGAACTTGTGGGCTGGCATTGTGGCATAGTGGGTAAAGCCACTGCCTGTGACGCCGGCATCCAGTATGGGCACTGGTTTGAGTTCTTGCTGCTCCACTTCCTATCCAGCTCCCTGCTGATGCACCTTTTGAAAGCAGCAGAGGATGGGTCCACGTACTTGGGCCCCTGCCACCCACGTGGGAGACCCATATGAAACTCCTGGCTCCTGGTTTTGGACCTGCCCGGCTCCAGCCATTGTGGCCATTCAGGGAGTGAACCAATAGATGGAAGATATTTCTCTCTCTCTCTTTCTCTAACTCTGCCTTTCAAATAAATAAATACATCTTTTATTTTTTTAAAGTGAACTTGTAGTAATATGCATTACAACTCTGGTTTTTGGGCAGATGGCAGGAGCTGATACGTGGTGAAGTGTGTGGAATAATCGTGCCTGCTAGGTGATGAGCACGAGGTGACTGTGGCTAATAACATCCCGACCACTGGCCCTGGGGCTCGGGAAGGCACGTGGGCTCCCTGCTTCACCTCTAAGATGGGGACGATGCTTACTGCCCATCTAAAGTGTAAGACCCTTGTGAGGATCCAGTAAGATAAAGCACTCCCAGTTCCCACGTTTCCTGTTCTCGATGAGTATCATCACTAAAACACCAGAGGCATCTGTCTGTAGATAGAAGCAAGCATCCTTAAACCGGGGCTTCCGGAGTTGGGTGACCAGGTGACTCGTTAGGTGTCGGGAGAAGGTAGCTGATGCTCACGTTTTATCTCATCTCTTTTTATTTTTTTCATATTTAATGATTTACATAGTGAATTAACATAGTGAATTTACATAGATGAATTAATATAATTTATAAATAATTGCATTTATTGGTGATTAGAGTTTTTTATTGGAAGGAATGCATAAAGTTTGAAGAGTTACTGATTCTAAGACGAACTTGGTCTGGGCACCTTCACAGGCTGTTAATTCAGCCTTTTTGTGGCAACAGGTGTCATCAACTGTCTGTCTCTTTGATCTGATTTTATTTATTTAAAGATTTATTAACTTATTTGTAAGTCAGAATTAAACAGAGAGAGAAGGAGAGGCAGAGAGAGAGGTCATCCATCCACTGGTTCACTCCCCAGATGGCCGTAATGGCCAGAGCTGCGCCGATCTGAAGCCAGGAGCCAGGAGCTTCTTCTGGGTCTCCCACCCGGGTACAGGGGCCCAAGCATTTGGGCCATCTTCTACTGTTTTCTCAGGCCATAGCAGAGAGCTGGATCAGAAGTGGAGCAGTCAGTACTGGAAGGTGCCAATATGGGATGCCGGCACTTCAGGCAGCGGCTTTGCCTGCTTTGTCACAGCGCTGGCCCCCCTTTGATTTTATATTAAGGAAGGGAATTACCTGAAGAAAAGCATCAGCGATAAGCAGAAAGCATGTTCTTTAAAACATTATTGATACTTAATGTCAGAAGTATGTGTTCAGGAGCCCTAGCCTTTATTACAGTTTATTAAATGATAATGAAGTTTTGAAGATGGCAGGCAATTGCTCTTAAGAACACTTTGTGAGGAAATATTCCAAAATAGATGAAAAAATCAAGATACACACAAAGACTGAGACCCCAATTCTAAGATTGCACGTGTGTGCACACAAAGGAAGCACACTAACATGCTAATAGTGGCTAGTTCTTGTTAGTGGGACTAGGGTTTGTTTTGTTTTGTTTGTTTGTTTGTTTTATTTAGAGATTTATTTATTTATTTGAATGGCAGAGTCATAGGGAGAGGTCTTCCATCTACTAGGTCACTCCCCAAATGGCCACAATGGTGAGGAATGGGCCAGGCAGAAGCCAGGACCAAGAGCTTCGTTTGGGTGTAATTGGGCCAGGTGCAGTAGCAGGGAGCTGGACTGGAAGTGGAGCAGCCATTAGTCCAACTGGCACCTATATGGAATACCAGCATCACAGGTGGCATCGTAACCTGCTGCGCCACAGTGCCAGCCCCAGGGTTATGTCGTAGTGTCTCTACACTCTTTTGATCTTCCAGTGTATTCTGTAATGAACATATATTCATTTTGAAATTAGGGGAAAATTATTTTTTAAAAGACAAAATACCCCAAGTCATCTTGCTGTTCTTGGGCTTTAGGTTTTCAGTAATGGAGTAACCTTGCTGGAGTATGGCTCACAGGATCGGGAAGGCCTGGAATGGGTTATGTTGGCCAGTTCTGCTAGAATTCCACTGCAGAATTTGGGACAGATGGATTCGGTATTCAGTATTAAAGTGCTCTTTGGTTTGGATTTTGGTGTTTTTGGTACCTTAACAATTTTGGCTCCTAGTATCCTTGCTGAGGCCTCCACAGAGTCTGGATAACTGCTGGTTATCATCTGTTGCTAATGAGCATGGTTCTGTATCCTCTGAGCCACCATCACTTCTGGGCACTGCATGGGGGAGTATGGGACGTAGTGAAGAAATACGCTCCTGAGTCCCTTAGGGCTCACCTTAGGGTGATCCCAGTGTAGTCAGGGAAGTGAGACTTACCTTCTTCAGATGGCCGTCAGCCCCAACAGTTCATAACCGGTGTCAATGTGAGTGTCGACCTCATCCTTTCTTTGAGTCTTTTATTTTAAAGATTTATTTATTTATTTGAAAGTCAGAGTTACACAGAGAGAGGAGAGGCAGAGAAAGAGAGAGAGGTCTTCCATCTGCTGGTTCACTTCCCAATTGGCCTCAATGGCCAGAGCTGTGCCAATCCAAAGCCAGGAGCCAGGAGCTTCTTCTGGGTCTCCCATGCAGGTGCAGGGGCACAAGGCCTTGGGCCGTCTTCTACTGCTTTCCCAGGCTATGGCAGCCGGGTCTCGAACTGGCGCCATATGGGATGCCAGCGCTTCAGGCCAGGGTGGTAACCCGATGCGCCACATGCGCCAGCCCCCTGTCTTTGAGTCTTAGCAATTCAGGTATCTTCTCAAGTGCTTTATTGAGCCCATTCCTCAGACTTCAGCTTCCCCATATTAACATTTGAGTTAAAAACCAGGAAATCTCTCTCTCTCTGTCTCTCTCTGTCTCTCTCTGTCTCTCCCTGTAACTCTGCCTTTCAAATGAATAAATAAATATTTAAAAAATAGGGGCCGGCGCCGTGGCTCATTCCATCTGCAGTGCTGGCATCCCATATGAGTGTCGGATTCTAGTCCCAGTTGCTCCTCTTCCAGTCCAGCTCTCTGCTGTGGCCCGGGAGGGCAGTGGAGGATGGCCCAAGTGCTTGGGACCCTGCACCTGCATAGGAGATCAGGAGGAAGCACCTGGTTCCTGGCTTCGGATCCGCGCAGCGCCAGCTTGGTGCTATTTGGGGGGTGAACCAATGGAAGGAAGACCTTTCTCTCTCTCTCTCTCTCTCTCTCTCTCTCTCTCACTGTCTATAACTCTACCTGTCAAATAAAAAAAATTAAAAATAAAAAGGTAAAACCAGGAGGACCCGATGTGTATAAACATCGCCTTCAACCAAATGTTCTCCAACTTGCTGTCTAACCACAGCCTCCTGGGGCACACTAAACAAAGCACAGCTGGCTGGGTGCCCCCTAAATACCTGACCGACTTCCCTGGCCTTGGGAAGGAAAGAGGGGAAAGAGGGGTTGGAGTTTGGGAAATACCCGAGTAATTGTAAGGTGCACAGTGTCGGGACTCAGACCCTTGAAAAGTTGAGTTCGCTGAAGAACTGAAAAATGTGAATTGCTGAGACGGAAAGGCTGGGGTGTGAACCCTTGGCGAAGGAGCCTGTTCTTGAATGGCAGCGTCAGCTGGGAGTGGGAGGGCGGAGGGCGAGGCGGGCAGCAGCTGCAGGGCTGTTTCCGCAGCTGGGCAGGAGTCCCTCGGGCTCACAGGTGCCCCGCTGGGAATTCAGGAGCGGTGGCGAGGCTGCGCCACGGTGCACTAAGCCCACGTGCGGGTCTTTCCTTGGACGCGCATGCAGAGCCTTAATCCACTTACGATAATTGCAGGCCCCGTGGCTCTTGTCTTTGGTCACGATTTCTTTCCCGCGCCCCTTGGTAGCTCCCAGCATTCACATCCAGCCACGCTGATCCGTACCGGGATGCAGGCTGCGTGCTCCATCCGGGTCGCACAGGAAAGGGCCGGAGGCGGCTCCCGGGCCTGTGTTTTGGCGGCGACATCTGGGCGCCTGCCCCCTGCCTGCTCCTTCGCGCGCTGGCGGACACCCGGGGCTTCGGCTTTTCTCCCCGCACCGTGTGGCCGGGCCGATGTGTGCCTCACGGAAGGCGGCTTTTACCTTGTAGGGAGTGCTGTGACGAGCTCCGAGCCGAACTGGTCTGCGACCACCAGAAGCAGGTGTGCGAGGAGCGGAGAGCGCAGCTCGCCTTTAACGAGGAGCTGAAGCGGCAGCGGCTGGTGGAGGAGCAGATGTTTTCGAAGCTCTGGGAGCAAGACCGCTTAGCCAAGGAGAAGCGAGAAGCCCAGGAGGCCCGGAGGCAGAGAGCGCTGGCGGAGAACATGCGCCTGGGGCTCAACGCCCAGATCACGGGCATCCAGGCGCAGAGGCAGGCGGCGCAGCTGCTGAAGGAGGAGGAGGCGCGCCTCGTGGTGGGGGCCTCCCCCGCGCCGGGACCGGGCCGGGAAGGGTGGTGGGCTCCGAGGGTGTCGGGCGCCTTGCAGCCTCCGCTGCGCCCTTCATTCTGGGCTGTTTGCTAACGCGGCCAGATCCAGACGTGCAGATGTGCCGAGAGTGACGTCTCCAAGGCTAATACGCCAGAGTGTGGAGAGACGTGCTGGGTGGGGGGAGGGGATTAAATGCGACTTCCCTTCATTCTTTCCTGTGGTTTTTGTACTCCTCAATTGTTTGTTACTTTATCATCACACACACACACACACACACACGCACACACACACACAAAGAGTAACTGTCCTACGGCTTTATTGCTGATCCAGCAACAAGAGGCAGGTTGTATTTCTTTTAGCCAAAACCTGGGAGAGTGTGTGAGTGCGTGTGCATGTTCAAGAAGCATTCTCGGCCAACCGTGGCTCACTAGGCTAATCCTCTGCCTGCGGCACCAGCACCCGGGGTTCTAGTCCCGGTCGGGGCGCCGGTTCTTTCCCGGTTGCTCCTCTTCCAGGCCAGCTCTCTGCTGTGGCCCGGGAGTGCAGTGGAGGATGGCCCAAGTGCTTGGGCCCTGCACCCACATGGGAGACCAGGAGAAGCACCTGGCTCCTGCCTTCGGATCAGCATAGCGCGCCGGCCGTAGCGGCCATTTTGGGGGTGAACCAACGGAAGGAAGACCTTTCTCTCTCTCTCACTAACTCTGCCTGTCAAAAAAAAAAAGCATTCTCATCTCTTAACCAAAATGGGTGAATTCATTTATTGTGTCCCAGCTCTGCTGAGTCATTATCTTCATTGTTCTGCCTTAGGACCAGGAGAGAGCACAGGTTAAACTCGAGAATGAACAGGACAAGCTGAAGAAGCAGCAGAAGAAACAGGAGACGAAGGCCATTTTGCAAAAAGCCCTGGAAGAGAGGATAGAGTACATTCAGCAGGAATACAGAGAGGAACAGGACTTGGACAGGAAGCTGGTACAGAGAGCCCTTCAAGACTTACAGGAAGAGGAGGACAAGAAGAAGCAGAAAAAAGTAAGCCATTGATTTGGTGCCCGCCTGCTGTGCTGGGTGCAGCCCTCTTGTTGCATCCCAGGCCTTGTGGAAGATGGCCACGGTGTGACACGCAGAAGCCACAGACAGCATGAATGCAACGTGGGCAGGTGGTAGAAATCCAGGGACTGCGTTGTGTTGCAGCACGTAGCTGTGCTTTTGTCAGGCTCAAGTCCATGCCCCAGGCTGCTGCTCTTCCGACCCAGCTCTCTGCACGTGGCCTGGGAAAAGCAGCGGAAGATGGCACACATACTTGGGCCCCTCCCACCCACATAGGAAACCCGGATGAAGCCCTTGGCTTCGGCCTGGCCCAGCCCTGGCCATTGTGGCCATCTGGGGAGTGAACCAGCAGATGGGAGACTTCTCTCTCTCTCTGTCTCTCCCCCTCTCTCTATAAATTTGAATTTCAAATAAATAAATAAAATTCTAAAAAAAAATTAGAAAAAAAAAAAAAACAAAAGAAACAAATCCACATGCTTCAGAGTCAGATTCTCCAAGTTAAAATTGTGTGTTTCACCCCGCTCGCCCAGGTGGCTGTGATGCCGGCCAAGCATGAGAACTGGAATCGGCATGACGCCCCTGAGAGAGTGGCATTGGAGTTGGGCCTTAAAGGCCATGTAAAATTTTGTTGGGCCAGAAGAGTAGATAAAGGTATTCGGTATTTATTTGGCTATCTGTGCCTTTGGAATTCACACTGAACTTTTAAGAGGGTTGTGTATTTCCTACAGGTGTTTTGTGTTTTCATTGAACTCTTTATTTTGAGATAGTTTTAGATTCACATGAAGATTTTTTAGTAATGTAAAGAGAACAGACTTCATGTAGTTCATTGCTACAGTTCTAAGAATATGACGGCGCTTCTTCCCCTTCCTCCCCCCTCCCTCTGTCTCCTTCCTTAAGAAGTGCTACAGAGAGACCCCTGGGCCCTTTCTCCAGTCGCCCCAGTGGTGAGAGCTTGCAAAGCTGCAGAACAAGGCCCCAGTCAGGATACTGGCATTGAAACTGTCGAGACAGGAGCCATTCCATCACCACAAGGATCTCCTCCCTGTTCCCCCTTCATAGCCAGGGACTCCCTTCTTGCCCCACCCCCTCCTTAATCTCTGGCAGCCAATACTCTATTTTCTGTTTTTATGATTTTGTTATTTCAAGGATGGTATCTAAGTGGAATTTTAGAGTATAGAACCTTGGGAGATGTTTTTCATTCAGTATAGCTTTCTGGAGATGTATTCAAATTTTTGTATCTACCAATAGATAGAGTAAAAATCATGGTATAGAGCTCCTCCATCCGACTTCCACCTGCCACGCGTGAGCAATCCTGTTTCTCCATATCCTCATCAGGATATGCTGCTTTGACTCCAGCCGTTCTGACAGATGTGTGATGATACCTACTGTGGTTTAATGCATATTTTCCTGGTGGTCAGCGATGCTGAACAGCTTCTCATGTGTTTGCTGAAATATCTCTTTGCTGTAAAGTGAACTATCTCTTCACCTCTGTTGCCCATTTTCTAATTAACTTGCTTATTGGATTTATTTTTTTTGCTGTTTTTTGTTCTCAGTTAAATCATTTTATTTTTGAACACCTTCATTGATACACAGTTCACATAACACACAGCCTGGCCCCTGAAAGTGCATGATGGGACGGTTTCTGGTATAGTCACAGATAGGTGCAGCATCACACTTCTTTTTTTTTTTTTTAACTTTTATTTAATGAATATAAATTTCCAAAGTACAGCTTATGGATTACAATGGCTTCCCCCCCATAACGTCCCTCCCACCCGCAACCCTCCCCTTTCCCACTCCCTCTCCCCTTCCATTCACATCAAGATTCATTTTTGATTCTCTTTATATACAGAAGATCAGTTTAGCATACATTAAGCAAAGATTTCAACAGTTTGCTCCCACACAGAAACATAAAGTGAAAAATACTGTTTGAGTACTAGTTACTAGTTATAGCATTAAATCTCAATGTACAGCACACTAAGGACAGAGATCCTACATGAGGAGTAAGTGCACAGTGACTCCTGTTGTTGACTTAACAAATTGACACTCTTGTTTATGGCATCAGTAATCACCCTAGGCTCTTGTCATGAGCTGCCAAGGCTATGGAAGCCCCCTGAGTTCACCGACTCTGATCATATTTAGACAAGGCCATGGTCAAAGTGGAAGTTCTCTCCTCCCTTCAGAGAAAGGTACCTCCTTCTTTGATGACCCGTTCTTTCCACTGGGATCTCACTCACAGAGATCTTTCATTTAGGTTATTTTTTTTTTCCCCAGAGTGTCTTGGCTTTCCATGCCTGAAATAGTCTCATGGGCTTTTCAGCCGGATCCGCATGCCTTAAGGGCTGATTCTGAGGCCAGAGAGCATCACACTTCTTACCCACCCTGCCCCAGTCCTCAACAACCACTAATCCGATTTCTGTCCCTGGAGATTTCCCTGCTCCGGACTTTGGTTGGGATGCAATCACAGACCATGTGGCCTTTTGGCTGACTTCTTTCACCCAGCATCATGTTTCAGGGTTTATCCATGTCAGAGTGTGCTTCACTACTTCATTGCTTTCTGTGAGTGCCTATTTTGATATTCCGTTGAGTGGATATATGGCAGTTTATTTATCTCTATGTCAGCTGATCGATCCACAGTTGGGTTGTTTCTGCTTTTTTAGCTATGATGGATAATGCTACTATGAATATTCATGCATGAATTTTTATGTGGATGTCTCTTTTCATTTCTCTTGGGCCTATATCTAGTAGTAGGATTACTGGGTCATAAGGCAGTTCGTCGTTTGGGCTTTTAAGAAACTGCTAAGCTGTTTTCCACAGTGACTGTACCATTTTACACCCCTGCCAGTGGGGTGTGACAGTTCCACTCTCTTCACATACTCATCAACACTTGTTGTCTGTCTTCAGTTTCAGTGATCCTAGTGTTTTGAAGAGCCATCTCATTATGGTTTTAATTTGCATTTGCCAAATGACTCACGATTTTGAGCCTCTTATCTGGTGCTTTTGGGCCATTGGCATAACTTCTTTGCAAAATCTATTAGAAGACTTTTTGGAGAGGTCTAGTCAAGTCTTTAGCCCATTTTTTAAAGTCACTTGTCTTTTTATGACTGTGTTGTGAGGGTCTTTCATATGTTCTAGATATATGTCCCTATATGTCTATCTTTTTAAAAACTTATTTATTTATTTGTGAGGCAGAGGGACAGATCCCATTGCTGATTTGCTCCCCAAATGCCTGTGCCAGCTGTGGTTGATCCAAACCCAAAACCAGGAGCCAGGAACTCAATCCACGTGTCCTGCATGTGTGGCAGAAACCCAGCCACTTGAGTGATTACCACTGCTCTAGAGTCTGCGTTAGCAGGAAGCTGTATCAGAAGGCAGAGGCGGGCGTCGAGTCCAGGAACTGCAGCGCAGGACACGGGTGTCTTACTTGGCATCTAAACTACAAACACCCACCCCATGTCCTTACTTTCTTTCATTGTTTGTGTTTCCGATGATCTGAAGCACTGACTACTCCAAGGTCATAAAAGTGTACTTATGTTTTCTTCTTAGAGTTTCATAGTTTTCACTTTTACAGTTTGACCTGTGATCCATTTTAAGTTTTGTATATGGAATAAGAATCCAGCTTCATTATTCTGCGTGAGACACCCAGCTGTCCTAGCAATATTTGTTGACAACACTATTCTTCCCCTATTAAAATGTCTTGGCATCTTTGTTGAAAATCAGTTATAGTAAAGTGAACTTTTGCTTCTAGATTCTTAGTTCTGTTCTGTCAATCTATAACTCTAGATTTATGCCAGTATCTCATACCTATGTGTCTTGGTTATTGTAAGTTTGAAATCAGGAAGCATGAATCCTCCAAATTTGTCCAGTGTCTGATTGTTCTAGCCTTCTGTCTCCCTTGCATTTCCATGTGAATTTAGGATCAGCTTGTCAATTTTTGCTAAGAAACCAATTGAAATTTTCATAGAAATCATGTTGAACCCATAGGTCAACTTGGGTTGTATGGCCATTTTAATAATAGTATCTTCCAATTAGTTGTCTTATTTCTTTCAATAATGTTTCTTAGAGTTCAGGGTATATGTTTTACATTTCTTCTGTTAAACTTACTCCTAAATATGAAATTGCAAATAGTACACTTAATTAAATTTTCAGATTGCTCATTATTACAGAATAGAAATGGAGTGGATTTTTGTATATTGATCTTGCATCCTGCAACATGGCTAAACTCGTTTATGGGTTTCTGAATAGTTTTTAGTGGATTACTTACATTCTTTCTGGTGCTGAAGTTGCCGCATTGTAGGTTAGTGGGGTCCCTCTAAGTTGCCTGTTACTCCCTTTTGATACCACCTAGCTGTTTTTGATCATTTTGGAACAATAAGATATCCCAGGGTCCATCTTGTTCAGTTTCTGCCCCAGTCTTGGAATCTGTCATTTTCTCAAGAATTCTTATTTCCTGTTAGTGTAAAATGGTATTTAATGACAGCCGCAACCTGAGTGTTAGGAGAGCTCTTTGCTGTTGGATCATTACTGCTATTTGGCAATTGCCAACTAAAAATGCCTGCTTTGTGAAACAGCAGCTCCCGATCTTAGCTGCACATTGCAGTCACCTGGGGGACTTAAAAAGCTGTCCATTAAACAGGACTCTCTAGGGGAAAGACTCAGCCTTCAATACTTTTAAAAAAAAATTGCGTAGGTGATTCCAAAGCCTAGCTAAGCTTGAGAACTGCTGTGATAAAGAATCAGGCGACTGGCAGTCAGAAAGACCATGCTGTAATTGTGTAGTGACTGAGTCTGGTAAGGTTCATATTTCATTTATCTGAACTTCTCTAAATGAAAGTAAAGCTGTATCATAGAAAATTACAGGACAGCTGCCCTGAGAAGCACTTTGGGAAAGAGTTTGAATTATTCAAAAACATATGATCTGAGCTTTCAAACAGAGGCCAAGAATAGTGCATAAAGCTCCCTGTGTGAGATCTGGCTTCAGTGATGGTCAGCTGATGGCGGCTCTTGCTTTGGGTGGACCCTCACCCGCCACCAGCTGGGGTATGTATGTATGTATGTACGTATTGATTTATTTGAAAGTCAGAGCTACACATAGAGAGACGGAGAGGCAGAGAGAGAGAGGTCTTCCATCTGCTGGTTCACTCCCCAGTTGTCTGCAATGTCCGGAGCTGCACCAATCCAAAGCCAGGAGCCAGGAGCTTCTTCCGGGTCTCTCACATGGGTGCAGAGGCCCAAGTCCTTGGGCCATCTTCTACTGCTTTCCCAGGCCACGGCAGAGAGCTGGATCGGAAGTGGAGCAGCCAGGTCTCTAACCGGTGCCCATATGGGATGCTGACACTGCAGGCAGCGGCTTTACCCGCTGTGCCACAGCACCAGCCCCTAGGGTATTCCCAAGTAAGCCCCAGCCATAGTATTGGGTGAATGCTCCAGTGTGGAGCTCTAATAGGTTGGGACTGTGGTTTAAGAAGCTCACCTTAACATTGTTGCCACACAGCGTGAATCAATGTTTGTGTTCCGTAGAAAGACTCAGCCAGAGAACAGAAGATGTATCTTCAGTACATTGCCCAGTGCCGTGAAGAAGAAGTAGCTCAGGAGAAAGAGTTGGACAGAATAATAGAGGAAGAGAAGGAAAAAAAGTTGGCCGAGAAGGACAAGGAGCTAAGACTCGAAAAGGAGGCGAGGAAGCAGCTCATGGCGGAGGTCATGTGTACACGGGAACTCCAAGTTCTAGAAAAGTGTAAGCGCGGGATTTGCAGTTATATTACAGCTTGTCCTAACTCAGCTTAAGTCAGGATCAACATGCCTGTTAAGTGTGTGAAATACCACAGGGGATGCAGAAAGGATTCAGGTAAGAGCCTTGCTGCGGCGGATCTTACCTAATTGTTTATATGAAACATAGACATGTGAGGAGTTCCCGATCCTGGCAGAGCCTGAGCGCCGTGGCGGAGGCATTGTCAGGGTTAATTAAAGGCGCAGCGTGCCATTGGATTCTCTGGGACAGTGAGGAGTGGGGCGCAGATGCACATCGCCCCTCCTTCCTGGTACCTGGCCCTCTTTTCTGCCAGGGGCGTCTCCATCACTCCTCACCTTTGCCCGGGTGATTTGCTCTGCCTGGGCCGCTTGTGGTCCTAGAAACTCCTCAAGGGCAGCTCAGAGGCCTCGCTCCTGCTCATGGCCTCTGTGTCCCCTGCCTCAGGTTACATCCTGTTTCCAGGTTTTCCCTGTGGCCAGCTCAGCATCTCACCTGGCTGGAGCCTGTTCTCACAGTCTGGGCAGTCCTCCCCGTCTTCACACAGGTGTTCAGGCCAGGCCGGTCCCTAGGTGTTTCTTTCATAGAGGGAGCTTAACTATGCTTGCAACAGCTTTAACATCTCTGAAGGTGAATCTGGGCTGAGGGTGGCCCTGGCTCCTGGAAATCCCTGGGCTGGGTTGCACCGTGCTGTTAGGCGACGCATAGTGTCAGTCCTGCGTGGACCTGATCACTGCCACTGGCCCCTCTCAGGTTGCGTCAGATAAGTTTCCGATTTTGGAATCAAAGATACGTACATTTCAGATGTGTGCTGGCTAGTTAGAGTTATTCTTTTGTAAACTGTTTCCTTTGTCTTTTTCCCTTTGAGATTCTTATTATACAGCTTTATGAACTTTTAAAAAGATTTATTTTATAATAAGTTCTCTTATTAATATGAATAGCAAAAGAACTGTCAGTCCTCAAGAACAGTGAGAAGTGCTTTCCCGTCGGGAATCTGGTGTGAAAAGGGCTGTTTTAGACTTTCAGTGGAAAATGAGTGGAGCCTGCGAATCCAGCCCACCTGCGCGTCGGCCTCGCCTTGCTCCGCAGAGATCACTGCTTCCTCCTTGTCCATCCACGCCTGGGACCCAGGAATTCTCAGCTCTCCCTCTCCAAAGACAGCGAGGCTGGGTGCCCAGAACGTTGTGGGCAAGTTGTTCTGAAAAAGTCACTTGGTAAATAACGTTTTGTTTTGTGGACTTCTTTAGTGCAGCGGAAAGCGAAGGAGCAGGAAGAGCTGGCTGTGGAACAGGAACGGATAAACGAAGGGCTTAGAGAGCTGAACTGTGAAGAGAAGGAGCGTTTTTCAAGGTGGGATTCCTTTCTTGATTATCATCTGCTACCTGAAAAACATTTTTAACAGAGCGAGAGGACAGTGCCAACACGCATGCGTGACTGTGAGCGTTGTAGAAGCTCAAAGCTGTTTACAAAATTTTGTGTATAAAGAGGCACCAGCTGTGTGTCCGTTGCCGTCGTATACCTTGTGATTGTACACATGAGCTCTTAGACTGGATGAAATCATTTTTAAAAACCAGGCACCAATCCTAAATCCTAATAAAAAAAAAAAAAAAAGCTTTTTCCTCCACAGAGGTGGCCTAATTAGTTAGATTAGCAGAACTGGCTGATTCTAGGCACAAGAGCCCAGGAGGATTTTTCCAGCCTCACTGGCATGGAAGACTGAAATGTTCTGGGTGCTTTGGGGACGTCCCCCGCCCCTCTCTGGTGAGGCTCCTGCTGGGGACAGCCTGTGTCCTGGTCACCACTGTCAGGCAGAGGCCTCCTGCAGGTGGCTTCCCCCTGGGATGGCCATGGTCCCCAGCTCAGGGTGTGAGGAAGAAGACATGGCTGCCTTGACAGCTGGCCACCGTCCCTTGCTCCCGGGGCCCTTCCCCTGGCGCACTCCCACTCGGTGCAAACAGACAAAGCTCTTTTCTCTCGAGAGAGAATGTGACGTATGAGTTGAGACCTTTGCCAGTCTGGAGGCATTACTAACAGCGCTGGCCTGCCCCGCTGACTTGCTGCTGCAGCCCGTGCCCCTGGAGGTCATGGTGGCTTGCTTTTGAAAATTTGAGGGAGACCCAGTAAATATCACCTCTCTCCCCTGGCCAACTTCAGAATTAACTTCCGAGAGACAAGAAAAACTGGATGGGCAGAAGGGTTTAGTTCCATAACGAAACACCCAGAACTGGTGGTTTGAAGCAATGAATGGCTGTCTCAGGGCTCTGTGGGTTGACCAGGTTTGACTGGGCACTTCCCGCTCCATGACCGAGGTAACGTCCACCCGAAGGCTCGCCTGGGATCCATGTGCCCAACTGGGATCTTCATGAAGCTCATGGGAAATGCATATCACTTAAAAACTCATGGATTTCCTTTTTAAAATTCTGTTTTCCACTAACTTTTTGAAGTGCCCTCATCCCTACGTGTGTCGTGGTGCAGGTATTTCATTTGGTGGTGTCAACTGGCACGCTTGTATGTGGCCTCTCCACACTGCCGCTGGGCTCTCCCAGGACTGACCCCAGGGGCAGGGAAAGGAAGTTGCCTGGCCTGGTAGAGGTTACACGCAAGGCTGTCCTAGCTTCACTTCTGCCATATTCATAAAAGTGGTCACAGCTTCTGGCCGATTCAAGTGGATGGAGGGAGAAGCGCCCCCTTGTGGCAGGGGAGTGGAGGGCCACGGTGCAGGGGAGTCGGGAGGGAGGTGGCACTGTGGCCAGCCTAGGGGGACATCCAGACCGTCACCGTTACTTCTCAGAAAAGCAGTCAAGCTGTTTTCTGACACCAAAAAACCAATCCTAGGATTCCCCAGACGACAATTATGTGTCCAGCTGTTCACCTGTGACTAGTTATCCAGAGTTAACACAGACCCCGCAGGTTAAGGGCTTGGTGCCACAAGACTTGCCACACTTCAAATGCCAGTCGTGAGTCCCACGCCATCTTCTGACCAGCTGGCATTGGATAGTGGACCAGTGGCTGTACGGTCTGTCTCTCCCCTCCCCCTTTCAAATAATAAGAAAGAAATAAGAAATACATCTAAATTTATTTTTTAAATTAAAAATAGAACTACCATATGATTTAGCAACTCCCACTTCTGGGTATATTTCCAAAAGTGTTTTAAGAAAAGCCTCAACAAGGCGTTTGCACATACATGCTCACAGCAGCACAACGCACAGTATTCAAGAGGTAGAAATAACCCAGACACCCTCCCATGAATGAATGGATAAATGAAATGTCATTCAGAAAAAAAGGAAGCAAATCCTGTCGTATGCTCCAACGTATATGAATCTTGAGGATGTTTTCCTGGGCAAATAAGTCACAGAAAGATAAATACTGTGTGATTCCACTTTTGTGATGTACCTAAAGTACTCCAGTTCATAGAAACACGACGTGGAATGGTGGTTACAGGGGCAGGGCAAGGAAGGAAAAGGAAGCTGTTGTCTAGTGGGAATAGCATTTCAGATGTGTGGGATGCGAAGGTTCTGGAAATCTCTCACGACAATGTGAAAATACTCAACTACCTGACTATACCCTTACACATGTTTTCTAAGATGTTCAATTTCATGTTATGTGTTTTTTTTTCTCACAATTAAAAATCTGCATTGTAAATCCAAAACAAAAGTGTCTTATATATTAGAAATGTGGCTCATATATTCACGGTTGTTGTCTGAGAAACCTGTTCTTGAGTTTTTCACCTGTTTCTTCTACACTCAGCCTACTTGACTGGGCATTTTGGCTTCACAAGTTATATTTAAGTATAATGCTCTCGATAAAGCCAAATGCTTACTGTAAGAATTTTGTCCTTTGGCCTCCTTGATACTTCAGACGCTACGGGAAAGCCCAGGAGTACAGGAAGCAGCTTGAGATGCAAATAGCCTACCAGCAGCAGGCCCGAGAAGCAGAGAAGGAAGAGAGACGCCGAGAGTTCGAAGTGGGGCTGGCAGAAAACAAGGCCTGCATGGACAAGATCCAGGAGGTCCTGTCCACGCATCGAGTGATGCCCCGGAAAACGCACCCCATGAGGAAGGCGTGCGCCAGTAGGCTCCCGCCATAGCTTCATAACCGTCAATATGTATTTTCTGTCTTTTAAAATACTTGTCACTACAGTATGCTTGTATGTTCCTTTTAACTCATGGATAAACTGATCTTTTTTTTTTTTTTCCCTCTGAGTTTGTGTAATTTGTGATACATGACTTCTTTCTTCAAACAAACCTGCTCCTTTTCTGGATTTTGTTGATCAAACTCCGTGACTATAAAAGAATGTGGGGCTGCCGCTGTGGCATAGAGGGTTAAAGCTGCCACCTGCAGTGCGGCATCCCATATGGGCACCAGTTCGAGTCCCAGCTGCTCCCCTTCAGGTCCAATTCCCTGCTAATGTGCCTGGGAAAGCAGCAGAGGATGGCCCAAGTGAGAGACCTGAAAAGCAGTGAAGGGAACCACCCACGTGGGAGACTCGGTTGAAGCTCCTGGCTCCTGACTTTGGCTTGGCCCAGGCCTGGCTATTGCAGCTATCTGGGGAGTGAAACCAGTAAATAGAAGAGCGTTCTCTCTCTCTCTCTCGCTCTCTCTCTAACACTGAATATCAAATAAATAAATAAATACATCTTTTAAAAAGTTCTAGAAATAAAAATTGGAAGAAATAAAATTCTAATATGCAATAACTCCACACAGTCACCAAAAAGAGTAAAATGAAAAAGTTAGGCCAATGACACTGGTGAGACTGTGAAAGATTTGGAACTCCCATACTCTGCTGGTAAGAATATTTATCTGCGCAATCGCTTTGTGATAGTATCAGGTAAGGTGTACTAAAGCTGGACACACACATACTCTGGGATCTAGCAGTTCCACTCCTACATAGTTATTTTACTTATTTGAAAGGCAGATACTTAGATAGATGATAGATATATCTAGATGATAGGTGATAATGATAGATAATAGATGATAGATACATAGATAGTTAGATAGATACATAGATTCCCCCATCTGCTGGTTCACTTCCCAAATACCTGTAACAGTCAAGGCTGATACAAGTGGAAGCCAGCAACAAGGAATTCAATCTGGGTCTCCCAAGTGGGTAGCAGGGATCCAATTACTTGAGCCATCACCTAATGCCTCCCAGGGTGTGCATCAGCAAGCAACTGGAATGGAAAGTGGAGCTGGGACTTGCACTGAGGCACCCCGATAGGGAATGTGGGGGTCCCAGGCAGTGGTTTAGCCACCCAATGCCTGCCCCCACTCATAGGTATGGGCCCAACAGAAATGCATGCACTTGTGTAGTAAGTTACAAGATTATTCATTGAAGCGCTATTTCTAATTGCCCTACACTGGATACCATGCCTAGTAGAATGGAGAAAACCGCACACAGTGAGAAGGAATGAATTTTCTACATTCAGCAGACGTAGTGAGCAAGCAGATTCAGAACAGAAGGGCTTGTGCTGTGAGGTTCCACTTAGGAAATCTTGAAAGCAGACAGAGCTAATTTTGGGAGCTGCCATTCGGGCAAGTGGAGGCCCTTACGGAGAAGGTGATGGGGGTGCCCACGGGAGGGCTTCTGGGTGCTCATCTGGGTGGTGGCTATCCAGTGTGTTTACTTTGAGAAAATTCTTTCGGTTCTGCACTTCAGGTTTGTGCACTGTTAAGGAAAATCAGCCTTCCTGAACTCACGAGCCGTGGGTCACGGCTGAGCCTGGAGCCTTACAGACTGAACCCAGTGCTCAGAGGCCACTGGCCTGTCTGCTGTCACTTGCCCGCCAGGTAAAGACCAGACTCCCACTATCAGCTTGCCCTCTAGTGGCAAAACCTCATTTTGCCAGCTCCGTGTTGGATGCTGGGAATGGAATGCAAGCAGCCGGAGGGGCTCAGCCGAGCAGAAGAGCAGAACGTGATGGGGCCGTCGCTTCTGGAGTCAGTGCGGTGACCTTCATTTGGACATCGCACAGTTGAATGCCTGCCCTCTGGGGTCAGGAAAATAAAATGGAGGCCCAAGTTTCACGTCCTCGGAGGGCCTCATTTGTTGTACTTTTCATAAACCAGGCCGGGAGAGCCTACGCTTGGTCTACTTCAGACAGCAGAGTATCCCCATGGACTTACCACGTGAACAGAAGTTGTCAGCGTGCATACTGCTGGTGACTCCAGCTGCTGTCAAGGGAACCTGGCCACACGTTGCTGGCGCTGAATTCCAATTACTTTGTACACTTATTGTCCACCTGACAAATGGGGAGAAAAACTATAAAGAAGCAATGAGTTTATTGAGGGGTGAGTGACAGGGGATTTGCAGATCCAGCAGACAAGTGCAGTGGGGAGCCATTGGCACACCTCAGGGAGGCAAAACAAGGCACAGGTTTTTAAAGAAGGAGGCTTATGTAAATTGTTGTGCATAATCCTTGGCTACAAGGGTTAATAACAAGGTGGTCTAAGGTGAATGAGCAGTTGCTGGGTGGATGGATGCCCTTGGGTGGATGTCCTCGAATGGTAGCTCTTCTGCAAGGTTGCAATTCGATGGAATCCTGTGTGCTAGTTCCTGTGGTCAGGTGAATTGTGAGTAAGGACCCCCTCCCCTTCTTGACCTCCTAGCTCCATGTAGTTTGGTTTCATCGTTGGTCAGTATCATTTTGATACTGACAACGTTCACGTAATCACCCTGACTTTTCCTTGTTTCAGATCAAAAATCGATAATGGCAGCTAACTGTTTTTTTTTTTTAAGATATATTTATTTGAAAGAGTTACACAGAGAGAGTAGGAGAGACAGACAGAGAGAGAGAGAGAAAGAGAGAGAGAGGTCTTCCATCTGTTGGTTCACTTCCCAACTGGCCCCAATGGCTGGAGCTGAGCCGATCTGAAGCCAGGAGCCAGGAGCCTCCTCAGGGTCTTCCCACATGGGTGCAGGGCCCCAAGGACTTGGGTCATGTTCCAGTGCTTTCCCAGGCTATAGCAGAGAGTTGGATCAGAAGTGGAGCAGCTGGGACTCGGACGGGCAGCCGTATGGGGTGCCTGCACTGGAGGTGGCGGCTTTACCTGCTGTGCCACAGAGCAGGCCCCTAAATTAATTAATTATTTTTTAAGAGGGAGGGAGTGCACACATGGGGGTTGGGGGATGAGAGAGACAGAGACAGACAGAGAGAAAGAGAGAGAGATTGAGATTGAGAAGGAATTCTCCCATCCGCTGGTTCACTCTCCAAATGCCAAAACAGCTGGGGTTGGGTCAGGTTGAAGCCAGAAGCCAGGAAATCAATCCATGCCTTCCATGTCAGTGGTATGGACCCAACCACTTGGGCCATCACCTGTTGACTCCCAGAGTGCACATTAACAGAAGCTGGAATCAGGAGCAGGATGTGGGATGTAGGTATCTCAATTAGCATCTTACTCATTACACACATGCCCGTCCCACTCCCATCTCCCACGTGGGAGACCTGAAGAAGCTCCTGGCTCCTGGCTCCTGGCTTCAGATAGCCCCAGCTCCGGCCATAGTGGCCATCTGGGGAGTGAACCAGTAGATGGAAGACCTCTCTCTGTGTCTCTTCTTTCTCACTGTCTATAACTCTACCTCTTAAATACATAAATAAAATCCTAAAAAAAAGGATTGTGAACCTGTGCTGCACAGGAGTTAAAGCCACTCCCGAGCTGTGAATCTGAGGAAGCCCATGAGAAACACTGGTTACCCAGTATGTAAATCAACTGCAACTGCTATTTGAACGTAACAGGGAATAAACATTCCTAGACTGGGGAGGTGTGTGATTGGAAATAAATAAGGCGTGTTTATTGATATGCGTGTCACAGATGCCAGAGTCGGTCTTGAGAGGCTTCCTCCATCAGCCTACAAAATATGCTGAGTACAGTGTTCTAAGATGTAATGAAAAAGTACAGTGTTACCTTGGAAATAGCAGCAGTTTAAAGCTTAATTGGCTTTTTATAAATTGCATTTAATGGCTGGAGAAATCGATGACAAATGCAGTGATAAGAACACTAACAGTTATTCATTGTATCAGCATTACAACCACAAATAATATGAATGCAATTAATCTGCCCAATTTACAAAGTGTGTTATATTTCAGGGCATCTCAAAAGTGTTCAGAAACTAGTGCTCTCATGGCTATATTAAGCCCTTTGCAGAAAAGAATGGCAGAATTTTGGCTGGTCAGTTACTTAGAGTTTTGTTGCTGATCCTGATCTAGAGACAAGAAATAACTGAGGACAACATACAAAGCAACATATAGGCAAGTGCCGTCTTGAGTGTATGGAGTAGACTTATTGTCATACTAAGAAGGCTCCAGAATTCCCACGTGTAGCCCGTGTTTAAGGAAAGCCTCTGGTGGGAAGACAGGATTGGAAAGAGGTGTGTTGGACCTGCATTTGAATAGCAGCGCATGGTGTTGCTTAGGTTTTATGTTTATTTGGTGACTTGGAGGAGGGTGGTACAGTCCAAGTCACACTCTGGAGACACGTCACTGCTGCTCAGGTGTTTTGGAAAAGGGAGAACTTTGTTACGACTGGGGCCATCAGGGAAGGCTTCCAGTTGGGCTTTTTTTTTTAAAGATTTATTTATTTATTTGAAAGAGTTACATAGAGAGAGAAGGAAAGGCAGAGAGAGAGAGAGAGAGAGAGAGCAAGGTCTTCCATCTGCTGGTTCACTCCCCAGTTGGCTGCAACAGCTGGAGCTGCCCAGATCTGAAGCCAGGAGCCAGGAGCTTCCTCCAGGTCTTCCCACGTGGGTGCTGGATTGGAAGTAGAGCAGCCAGGTCTTGAACCAGTGCCCATATGGGGTGCCAGCACTGCAGGCAGCAGCTTTACCCTCTATGCCACAGTGCCAGCCCCAAACTGGACTTTTAAGTTGTGTGGACCTCACATGGCACTTGGAGTCGAGTCTATTGGGGGCAGGCCACAGTGAGAAGTGAACTTGACTCAGTTGGAATGTTTTCCTTGGGAGGAGGTCTCAGTATGTTGGGACAGACCAAAAAAGACCCATTTTTACAGGTGAGAAAAAGCAAAATCCTCTCTCTCTCTCTCTCTCTCTATAACTCTGCCTTTCAAAAAATCTTTTAAAATGTGAAAACAAAAAATTAAAACCCCATTTTGTTGGGAATCCTTATGTGAAAATGTAGGTAAGTGCTCAAAACGAAAACCATGCACACAGTAGGCTTTGAGTAAATGCTGATGGCCC